TTACAAACTGTTCTTGCCAAAAAAAAGTATTAAATTTAACCAAACTCTAGACTTCCTGTTCTTCTCTGTAGCTGCTTCTGTTGTGAAATGGTGCTACATAAATCAAGAAACATATCTTGATATAGTTTAAACAGAAATAAGAAAATGTTCCACAGTTCCTGTACCATTTATTACAGATGAAAAGGTTATGAGCTAGAAGTTGCCATGGCGGTTGTTCCTACACTTAGTCATGTGTATGTGCTTTTTGAAGGCCACAATTAACTTTGAAGGTCATCACAATAATGTACAGTCTTCTCTGCTTGTGTGAAACAGAAGGCACCGACCTCACGCTGGGCACATCTGGATTTCATCCTGCAGATTATAATCTTAGTTGCTCATTTATTATACAGCAGGCGCTAAATTACATGTTTTCTAACAGCAAATAAGAGACTAAACATGTGACAAAGTGAAATAATGAACAACGATTATTATTACTACTAAAAAAAATAAACTATTAATACATATTTAGACAGATGGAAAGCTCAGTAATGCTGGATGGGCTGTTTGTGCACATTTTCCACATGTTTCTTAAATACATGAAATATTTTGTTAACAGCGGTAATCATGATTGACAATTAAGAGTGCGCCATCCCATCTGTCAGTACAGCAGATGTCATCGGCGATGTCTGCGTGACACGACAAAATGTGAACACCGTGTGACCGGATTTAACACGGCCTTTTGAGGCAACGATCAATAGCTCTGGGATGAAAACAGATGCAAATAGATGGAGATCCTGCTCTCATTAGGTTGTGTCAGTGCTACAATTAAAGAGGGGGCACGGAGCAGGTCACCCAAGGCTTTAAGCATGAGGATGGCTCTGGAAACGCTTAGACTTGAGTGGTCTGGAGCTACATGTGGCTCTTTACCCCTCCGAAGTGGCTCACAGTAGCTTTGGCCACGTTGGTGTGAACCTGAGGCGAATATTAGTTGTTCCCATCCTGATTTTCTACAGAACATTTGTTGATTTTCCACAACAGAATGACACAAGTAGCTTAAGCTGCCTGGAGGAACTAGCAACATTGGTAGCTCACTTCCTATTTTTTTATTTATGTCATTTCTGTCCAAAATGACCCAAATATTAAGATTTCCTTGTACATTTCTGAGACAAAAGCAGAAGTTGTGATCGTCACTTATCGCTAGGTTTTAAAGGTAACATAAAGCAAATTTATTCTTCTAATGATGAGTATATTTTTAACACAGACCTAGCTGGGCTGCTAGCTTAAGTGATTTCATTAAAAGCTATTTTTAGGACATTGAAGTCACAAATAATGTCTTATGTTTCAACTGATAGGTGTTATGGGGTTAGAGGTAGGGTAAGATGGAATAGATCTTTTGAAAGATGTAGTTAATTATTACCTTACCTGTTTTAGATAGTTCAATTGGAACTATATGTAGCTGGAATTGTTTTAGGACACTGCAACTGGTGCCCTAGGGGCTAGCTGTCGGGTTAGGCCCAGTTCATACAGAGGGAATTTTAAACAGTCGGAAGATTTTAAAAGTATGAATGACACGTGGTAATTAAAAATCCTGGATATACCAGTTTTGGCACTACACTGTGGTGTGTGGCAACTCTGCAAATACTATACACAAAGCACTTTCACAGACAGGTGGCACGTTTGTTTGTCCTCGAAACTCAGACCAAGTTACTCCTACATGTTTAAAAGACCAGAGTTATTATGATCAGCCTGGAAGGTTCTTCCGAGTGGACCAGACTGCTCTTAGCACACTACACATGGCGGGAACATCTGATATTATGTTTGGAGTCATTACAGTATTGTCATCGTTACAACTGTCGAAAGGGGAGGATCAGGTCAAAAATCTGCACGATTATCGTGTTGTGTGAACCAGGCCTTGACTGTCTGAACAGACTTAATCTCTGTTTTTCCAAACTGAGGTTATTCAAAGAGGTAAGATTTTAACTGTGTAACATTCAAGGTTTCTGAACTTTATTTATAATGTTCAACTTAACAAAATAGTGAACTATTTTGCAAGAAAATTTCTATTTCTTGTAGCTATTATTAATAACAATAATAATAATAACAATAATAAAAATATGCCATATACTGTAAGACTCGAGTTTCTGTGGTTCCATAGAAATTTTAATATGTATAACAGATGGTTAAATATGTTTTTTTCAGTCATAAAGATGACAGACTCCCTGGTCCTATCCGTTACCAGGAACCTGATGCACATTACAGTTTCTGCAAAAAACAAGGTTTTTCATCACATTCTGCCAAATTAAAGTTAACAACCCCGCTCTTAAAGAGAGGATGCAGCTTGCATTCCCGTCATGTTATGCATTCCACGGCAATGTAGAGCACAGCAGATGAGGGGAAAAGAAAAAAAAACAAATGCATCACTCTCCATCACTGACTGCGCAGGGCTTTCCTCGGCTTTCCCGAAAACCACCGGGGACCCGAGAGAGCGAGAGGGAAGACGGGGGTAATCCTGCACATGCGTTTAAAAAACAAGAATAAACACACACCAGGTGTGTGTTAGTCTTACCTGTTGTGGCTACATTTGCAGCATCAGTCGACGGGCTCGAATGATCATTCGAGTAGGAGCACTCCGAGCCCAGTACCGCATAGATGACGAGTCCACGTAGCAATACATTCACTACCATGTAACTCATGGTGGAAAAATCTGGTGGAAATGTGGGAATTCGTATCCTTAGTGTGAGGGATTATTCCAGTAGGACGGTTGAAAAAATGATTAAGGTGTCAAAATTACACCAGCCTTAAAAATATCCAGAATAATACTGTCTTCTTGTGCGAACCGTGTAACACCTGCGTATTACTAAATATTAGTAAATAAAGCTAGCTTACGTGCTATAAAAACTAGTAGCTTCTGATGGTTTTCCAGGCTGCTTCAGAGGGGCTAACAGACAAGCACCCCATGTCTAATGTCAAACATCTAAAAATATTAATATTGTAAAAAAAAACAGGACCGGGTTTTAGGAGCTACTGCGAAGCACATGCAGCTACTCCAGAGGAATTCCGTCCAAAACAAACACAAAAACAAAAATATGTAGTAATAAAACGAGGTTTTTACTTAAACCCGCGGATATCCGTGAGCTACCAAAATAATAATCCGTAAACTGTGAGTTGGTACTTCCACGGACAGTAGTAAACTGCACATTCCGCCTCTTCACATGAAAGTAGAAAATCCCATGGTGGTTAGCGAAAATGTGTCTCCTTCTTCTCCTCCTCCGACCTGACATCCGCCTACCTCCTCCGAGGGAAGTTTTTTGAGTCAGCTTTTCATGGCTCCGCCGTGATACTGTATCCTCCTGTTATATCAGCTGCTTGCCGGCTGATGGGGACCAGTAGACGGAGAAAAAAAAGGAGGCAGAGCAAGGCGGAAGTTCAGTATGCAAAACGGGTTTGACGCGAGGCGGAGGTTGAGGAGGGGTGACTCTAATTTAGCTCCAACTTCCGTCGCGTGCGGGACAGTGACTTGAGGTTTTTTCCAGAGCAATCCAGCGGAGTAAAGTTCCTCCCGGTTGCCCCCCCACCCTCCTTTACTCTTCCTCGGAGTTCATGCGGAAGGCAGAGGGACAGGACGACTCACCTCACCGGCGGCAGGTGTTTAAGAGCCAAATCTCAAGAACCCTCCAGAAACAGCCTCCCACGTTTCTCCTCCCGCCGGAGGATGAGCTTGACAGCGGCTTCTTTGGTCCTCCCCGGGTCCCCCTGTACCACATTGGTCAGTACGTCCCAGTTTTTCCTCCTTGGCGGAGCGCTCCCATTGGCTGGGCCATCCCAACATGGCAGAATCTGATTGGCTGCCTCTGAAGATGCTCGGCGCCACAGTCAGAGTAAAAATGACTTTCTGTCTTGAGCCCATGGAAGGAAAACCAACATTTATTGTGTCTTATAATTATTTTATTTTCCTCCTTCAAAGTTCTCTAAGTAGGCATGTCCAAACTACGGCCCCTGGGGGCCATTTGCAACCCTCTGAATATTTTTGTGCGGCCCCCAACTGCATCTCTCCAGCACTTTCAAACATTTTATGTTTAATTAATTACTTACCTCGTTTTGTGCGTAAGTAAGCTTTATAAATGAGGCCCCAGTTCATTAATACGTTAATTATTATTAATTAGAAAAAAGATTTTGTGTTAACACAAATTCACACATTTGACCATAGATTCTATTTAAAGCAAGGAACCTTTGTCAGTGCACGGTTTCTTGGCACACCAATTACGCAGATGTACACAACAAAGCCCTGCTCTAACAACAAAGACAATGGAATAATTTGAACAAAGTGCCCTGCAAGGACATATGCAGTGTTTGAGAAAATTAGTTGACTTGATTAATCAGTACATTTGCAGTGGTCTCTAGTAGGAATAAATGCCTGTTGCACTCTGGGTTCAAAAAGCCTTGATGTGCCTGTTTCAGTATGTAGAAGATCGCCAGATCAGAGGAGAGCTTCAGATGACAGAATTTGGAGTCTTACTTCCTGATATTTGGAAATCTCACCGCTGATTTGCTAACAGCGATGCAACTCTACCACCAACTCTGTATAATTTGCAACGCTGATGTTTTATCTCCACAAATAACACAAGCCTGAAAGAGTTCTGCTGTGTGGTGAGGTTGCTAATGCTAACAGTTAGCTTCTAGTAGTCAGGATGATTTTTTGCAGTTTCCTGGACACTAAACCAACAACAGTGAGTCAAGATGGGTGAGTGACAGTGTGCCGTAGATCTGTGAGGATTTTCTAATCCCAGAGTTTCATCGTCCATTTTCTATCAGAAGCTAATGCAGTAGATAGGTGTAGGAGACTATTTTCATGTTCAGCCTGCATGAAAAACTCAAGTGTCTGATTATAATGAGAATTAACCATTACTATTTTGTTTTTCAGCGAACCACTCTTTTAAATTGTAAAAATACAAAAGAAATAAAAACTTCCTGGCCAGATATTTGTCCGAGACCACCTGGACTCTGCTGCTGCAGTGCTCTTTTATTGAACTGGGAGCTTTTGAAATGCTGTACAAACAGGTACGCTAAATTCTTAATATTTCAACATTTGTGCAGCAATGAAAACACCAGAAAAAAATGAGGTTTTGCTCATAACAGTAGTTTATTAGTCAAGCAGCTGGAAAATGCTGCAGCTCCTTTCTCTCACTACTCTGAAAACATTCAGTCACAAACGTGTCTCTTAAAGGAACAGTAAAGCCCTTACATTTTTCCGATCATTGTCTAAACAATTCTGTTGGTTTATTGTATTTTCTGAGCAGCGTGTCTGTTGGTAGAAAATGGTTTGCATTTAGCCAAAAATCACATTGATTTTTATTTTCATCATTTCCACTGCTTGTGTGTGGCTCAAAAATGTTCGTGAACACTCTTATTATTGTTTAAAGACATTATCAAAATGTCTTTGAAATTGTTACAGTTCTTTTAGATCTGTCCTATATTATGCTCTCAGTTGAAATACAATTTAAAAGCACATTTTCAGAAATTAAGAGCTTGAGTTCTCAATATCATGTCCATTATTTGATTCTGTGCATCACTAAAGTTAGTTTTAAATTAAAAAAAATGTTTTAGGGGCAAATTTTCTTGGACAATTAAAATGTGATTAATCACGATTAATTAGAAAGGCTCAGATTAATTAGATTAATTTTTTATCAAGTCTCACACTTAATAAAACATTTTCTAGAATAGAATAGACTATTAATCCCACGGGAGGAGATTCACTTGCTACAGCAGCACATACACTTAGAGAAAAGGAAGAAGAAAAATAAGATTACAGGTAAACACATAGGCAATAAGACAAGACAGTTTATGTTTATGTATTTAGCAGACGCTTTTGTCCGAAGCGACTTACAAGTGATAATCGGCATGTTGCCCTTGAGGCTAACAACAACAATAACAACAACTTGACATCAATCATGGAGAGGACGGAACAAAGGAGTGGACGGTAGAGGGGGGGACGGGTGCAGGGAGGGTACTAGTTTAGCTTAATTTATATAGAACATTTCCTACACAAAGGCAGCTCAATGTGCTTTACAATAGTAAAGCAGTAAGCTATTATTGTGACATTCAACCACTAAAAATAATGAATAAAGAGAAAACTTGGGTTTCCAGAACTATGCAGCATATATTATTATTATTATTATAGTATCGATTATAAAGCACATGCCAATTATCCCACAGCCCTGCCATGTCTGACATGATCTGTTTGGGACTGATGCACTGCTAAGCTCACAACACACTGCTGCCGTAATGCGCTGCAGACGCACCCAGTGTGAATTGAGAGTAAGAGCTACTATGGTTTTGTCATAACAGATTTTTTGTTGCAAAGAATCACAACTATATGCATTAAAAACACCTACGGTGAAAATATTAGTCAAGTAAAAACAAAAAAATCAAGTTACATTTGTACGAACTGCTTTAAAGCAGTTTTAAAAGTGGATGTTTTGTCCTCTAATGGCTCGAGTGAAAAGTAAATTTTAAATCTGTTGCTATGTAAAAACTATGAATGCAAAAAATTCCAAATTTTTGATTTTTCTTAACATAATCAAGACTGATTAGTAACAAATGCCCCAGGCAAAAAAAAATGTTTATTTTTAGAAAATACCTCAATTTTTGTTCTCATAAATTACAGCAATGACTGAGTATTCAAACTGGCACTTCAAGGGTTAAAAGCCTCAAAATGATTGAAATGTTTTTATGTTCGAGCAGCGCTGATGTTCTTCAACAGATCTATGAAAAAAAGCAAACAAATATTAATGTATACATTTTATAGCCACCTTTACAAGCAGACGTTTTTGTCCTCTGACTCTTTTGTATAACAATTAAGGTGAAGCCCGAGGGCTAAAACCTTTGCTGTTAAATTTGTTAGCATTAACACGTAACTGGCCCCACAATGTTAGCCGTTAGCTAATCAGTTTGATCAAAACTAATCTGTTTCTCCAAACTGAAATTATTCAGCTATCTGCAGCAGGTAAGATACTAATAATGCTGCTGTAGAGCGGGTAGTCCAGTAATCAGAAAGTTGTATGCTGCCGTTGTGTTCTTGGGCAAGACACTTACGGTAACCCACCTTGGTGGTGGTCGGAGGGACCGATGGTTTGCTTCCATCAGTGCACCCCAGGGCAGCCATGGCTCCAATGTAGATAATCACCAACAGCGCGTGTTGTAAAGCACCTTGGGGGGTTGTAGAACCCTAAGAAGGCGCTATAGAAATACAGGCCATCGTGCATAAACTTTGCACAAAGCGTTACTTCAGTTTAAGCTATCAAACACAACAAACTGTTTTTAATAACTAAATTGATTTAGAAACGTTTAACTGGAGCCATTTCAATTATAAACATAATCTTTTGTGTACAAATTCCATTCTGCATGTTTCATTAAAATCTTAATTTAGGTTTCTTATTGTAACACACTAAACATTTAAACACTGCTTGTTACGGTTTGCAAACCTGACATAATTGCCATTGAGCCATTTTGCAAAATTCGGAACCAGAGCACAGAGCTGAGGCGTCAAATAACCCACTCACTGTACATGATACGCTTTTCAAAGAGGCACCTGTCAGCCATGGCCAGCCTCGGTGTGATGATGGACAGAGGGCACGCTGCCCTGCAATGCAATGCATCAGCCACCAAGAGGGACTGCCTGCAGTGTGCTCCAGCAGGTACCAATGTCAGGATAAACAGGACTGGGACTAATAAAGAGAGTCAGCCGTGGGAGTCCTTGTAAACAGGTGGCGGACGTGGCAGCGACCAGGAGAGGAGAGACGAAAGAGACGAGCAGCATAATTCGATACGAGTCCGCAGGGAACAAGGGGAGGGTGGAGAGAGGAGGGAGGCAGCCAGCAGGGAAGGGGTAATAGAGTAGATGCACATGTGAGAGGACAGAGAAAAGGGGTGTCTCCAGCTCCCTCTCTTAGAAATGGCTGCTCTCTAAACATTTATCCTGTCAGACGACCTCACAGAGCTATTCAGAAAGGACGCAGGAAAGATCACTTATTTTATTATAAAAGTGTTTGATGCTACATCTGATGTGCATACACTGCAAACAGATTACATCAATCACATAAACATGGGCACTGACGATGCTAAACATCCATGTACATTATGTAATGATTTATGCAGTGCTGTGAAAAAGTATTTGCCCCCTTAAAAGATACTTGTCTAAATGTGTCAGATATTTATATATTTAGTATCAAACACAACCTGAGTAAATGTAAAACTAGGACTACAAGGAAAAAACACACAGACCAACCAAAGAAACCACCCTCTGTGTTAAATCATGAATGAATTTGTGATGCAAGACATTTTTGGCAAAGCCGAGTGACCACCAGACCTGTAGAACTAACAAAACATTTAAATAAAACTTGTCTGACAGTAAGAAGCCGGTTAAAAGATTTCAACAATGTGTCCTGTTGTTCAATAAAATATAGAACACCAACATCCTCATCAGCGGCTCCACCTGGCCATTTCCAAGTCCATACCCCAGTTCCTCCATTGGTTCCTGAAATGGTCCAAAAAAAAAACCTATTTGCCCGATGAAAGATGCATGCGCATGCCAGGAAGGTCCGGCTGTTCCAGTTGTGGAAACAGGCCTAGTGATTCATATCACACTGAACAACAACAAAAAATAATAATAATGTTGTGGGAAAAAAACTGTCAGTGATGAAAAATTTACTTATTTAAAAATAAATAAATAAATAAAACCATCAGCGCAAGAGTCATGCATGGTGGTGGCAGTGTGATGGTGTGGGGCTGTTTTGCTGCTTTAGGACCTTCACCAGAAAATCCTGAAGGAAAATGACTGACCTTTGACCTTAAACATGTTGTTAATGCTGGAAAACTGTCTGATGTAGCTTAATAAAACAATTCTAAAAGGAAAAATGGGTATAAAATGAAAATCGCCCTTTGCTGCCACCAGGGGTGTTACAACTAATTAGTAGGTTTTGAGGTTATTTACCATTTCACATCAAACCCTGTGAGTTTAAAACGCATTTTATTAACTCGATAATTAACATCAGATTTTATAAACTTCATTCTGAATTCACTCAGTATATCTTGAAAGTTAAATTCTGTTTCCTGAAAAACATTCAAGTGCAACAAAAACTGTGAGGCGGCAAATACGTTTTTCTCAGCACTGCTAACACAATTAGCTGCAGCAGCCAGAAGTACAATTTCACAGTTTATCTCAACATGCAGAAGTAAACTAGCGCATCAAATCATTCCGCTGCAACAGCGTGATCTAACGGCGTAACAACAAGCAGGAGCTGAATGCACCGAAGGAGCTAATTAGCACTTCAGTAGCCAATCTTGAAGGCGTTGCTGTGGTCGCTTCCTGCTGCAGCGCAATCACTGCTGCGTGCAGTTGGCTGATCTGAGCACTGCTGCTGGGTTCGCCTTACCTTATGGCTTAATGAGGCCCCACCAGGAGTTACTTACATACTGTATGATATCTAATAGCATCGTAAAGGGGCTTTACTATTTTTAGTGCGTGCATGCAAAAGGTGGCTCTTGTTCAAAGCAGGTGAAGTGAGCTGTTTTTCTTCCCGTCCTCCTGTTCACCGGTGACTGATGAGTCGTGCTGTTTGTAGCTAAGAGACGGCGGCGCCAGGTGTTCAGATGGCAGTGGCAAAAAGAAAGATCTGGATCAGCGGCATGACCTTCAGAGTTGAAAGGTCTGCAAGGACGGCCTGCAGGATGAAAGCAAACACAAATGAGACAGCCCACGCTCCCCGCCCTGGCCTTATAGAATCACTAGATGTTTAAATTTAGGAACCCTATCGTGTTCAACGCGTCAAGACGGAGGTTCTAAATTTAAGACAAGGAGCGGCGTGTTATATCTTTCCTCAAGCAAGGCAGTTGGAAGATGAGCGAGCAAAATGTGCCTCTGCCAGAAGAGAGGGAAGGGGCAACAAGGGGCAAAGGGTGAGGAATTCACGAGAACCGTGATAGTGGTTAATGCAGCACTGCTGCAGCTTCTCTTCAATGCAAGTCCAACAGCAAAAAAAAAAATAAAAAGTGTGTTCCCTTTAAGATGTTGGGACCTGTAGGTGGTGGGCCAAGACACGTGCTGGGGTAAGAGGGTGTAGGCCCCTAAGACATTCAGGAGACTGGGTTACTGGAACTGGTTCTCGGTGTCTATTTACAGCCTTCCATAAGTATGACAGACGGGAGGTAGGGGGGAGAGAGAGTGGACTCCAAGTGTCAAACACACCTGTAAACACACTAAAATCACATGTGTGAGAGACAAACCTCAGCTGAAGCCAGTGACGTCACCTCCATCAGGTTCTCAGCACGGAATGCAAACACAGCAGCTGCAAGAACTGAAGAAAATAAAGGACATAATGACAATGAATTGGTCAAAAATGACTATTAAGTGTCTAAAAGTTTGTGGACGTGTCAGAATTGAGTGTTTTTCTTACCTGCAACCACCTCCAGCGAATCGTAACCGAGGATCCGATCCCAAAGCAGCAGCAGCTGATCAGTGGAAAGGTAACCGGAGAAGGCCCGCACCATCCACTTAAAAGCTATACGTAAGCTGAGGACAAAGACATCACACCTGCCTCTAAAAACAGACGTTCTGCACTGACTTTCATTTAAAACTCCATGAGTGAGGGAGAGCTGCGCCTCGAGCCGCAGACACTAGAGGGCAGTAGCTCATAAGTTTAAAGCTGGAACAACACCAACACTGACACATGGATGCAGGAAATGGCACCAAACACATTAAAAATCCTCTTTTCTTGCTGTTTCAAACTTTGCATGAAGGACAAATAGGATACATTATCTATGAGAGACATTTTCACTCTAACGCAACAAGAAATGGAGACAACACTTTCCAGGGGACTTTACTGGTGCTCTGCGTACTAGAAGCAGATGGTCTTGGAACTGAAACAGCTTTAAAACTAGAGGTGCTGAAAAAATCCATTCAAGTCTGAATCGGGATTCTTATTTAAAAAGATTCTGAATCGATTCCAAGAACTGAAATATTTGGCATGTTGCAGGTTTGAGATGCACTTTTTTGGTCTTTGTTAGGAGAGTCAGTACTCTGTATACTTTTGTGGTCCCATAAACTGAGATGATTTATGTTTGAATCTGCTGATAAGAGGGCACTAGAATGTAATTTTTTCCGTACTCAGAAATTTGAGATATTCTCATATTTATTTTCTAAGTAGATAAATGAGTACTCAGGATTACTCCTGTAACTTGTTTCTACACATACTTGAAAAGTATTTGACCGTATTACTTTCAAAGCTACTGTTAGGTAACTACAGATTTGTTATATTTTACAAGGTAAGCAAAAATAAACGTTGCCTTTTGGTCAAAATATTGTTTCTGTTTACAGTTTTAGAATCACTTTATTTTACATTGTAAATTTGTATTTTTGGAGCATGACCAGTTAAAAACATCCCATAGCTTTAACTAACTTGTACAACAAAGTAGTTCATCCTGGAGCTGACACTCTTTGTTAATACTGATTGTGAATCGATTTAAATTGAAAATTGAGAATCGATTCTGAATCGAATCGGCACCCCAAGAATCGGAATCGAATCAAATCGTGAGTTGCTCTAAGACTCACATCCCTAATTAAAACACTTTAAAAACGTGTCAGTTGTTGTGATTGTTTGGATTAAAACCAAAAATCCTAATTATTTGCATAGATGGTCTAAGCAGTGCCAGTGCGCCGCCCTACTCCTGCTCCATACGGGACCGCTAAGGATGGTTAGGGTTGGAACTCACGGCTGAGCTCCGATCTGTCGAAGGTGGTAGAAGAGCTGAGGCAGGTGCGTCTGGAGCAGCCGCTCAAACTGAAGACACAGGGACACTATACCCTACAGGGACACATACCCAACGAAATAAAGTTCAGACATGCTTGTTGGAGCCTTTTGAGAGGCATCGTGCACGAGACGCTTTACCGAAGTAGAAGATGAGATGGAGTGCAGCCTGAAGAAGTAGCGGATGTACATTTCCCGGAAGATGTTGTACAGGGTGGACGGCTCGTTGTACAAGAAACACAAGGGAGCCACTGAGGGGCAAACGTCCACAAACACACACTTATACATTCTTTTTTTTCTTGTTTATTTCAGAAAAAGCAGAAACACATACTCACCGTACATGGAAAAGCCATGAAAAGGGATGACACCTGTTCAAACAAGCGTTATTAGTGAGCTTCATGATAAACGGAACAAGGACGTGAATATCTAAATGTGAGCTCACCGTTGGGAGGATAAACGACAACGTGCTCCTCCTCGCCCACTTTTCCACCACAAAGACAAAAAAAAGGCAGTGATACACAAGATTTAGACCAAAACGTCTGGCTTTATGTCTCCCACGCCTCGACAGAAAGATGTCTTCATACAAGAGTAAACAGATGGTGGGGAGAGTTATCGGATCTCACCGTGGATGAAGGATTTGGGAGGAGTGGCGCTGTTGTACTTGAAGTGCTCCAGGACAGCTGTGTCTCTGGAGAAACACAGCAAGACCTGAGAATACACGGAGCTGGTGTTAGATGTCTAAGATGGGCTGAAGATGGGTTTAAAGCTGGAAAAGGCCCAGAAAAAATAAAATCCATAAGATGTTGTCTGACCCGTAAAAGGAGCTCCGGACTTCCCTGTGATGTCTCAAACTAGTCAATCATTTTTTTCTTTACATTTTCTTTCTAAGAAACCAGAACTTCATTAGACTGGTAGGCTTTCTACATCCAATCCAATCCAATCCAATTTTATTTATAAAGCGCATTCACAAGGCATTACAACCAAACAAGGTGCTGTACACTAAAAATGTTGGTTAATTAAACAGGCGTTATATAAACATGTCGAACACAGATAAAAGATAAAAAGGAAATACAAGAAAATTCCCAAAAATAACAGCTAAAAATCATTAAGACACAGGGTGAAGTAAAAATAGGAAAAAAAAAAAAAAAAAAACCAGACCTTACATACGAAATGTAAGGTCTGGCCGCGACTAGGGATGCACCGATCAGGTTTATTGCTACCGATCACCGATACCGATATCAAAGAATGCTGATCACAGATACCGATCGCTGATACTGATCACGTGGATTGGCCAGAAATTTTCTACAACATTATAATGAGTGCTACAAACTACATAATCTGGGATTAAAGGAAATGTAACCTAATCTAAAATGGTCTGTTGATCGGTCTGCTTTGATCCATTTTGAAAACTCCGACCAAAACCGATAGGGGCGCTATCGGCCGATTGGGATCAAATGCCGATCCATCGGTGCATCCCTAGCCGCGACCCTTGGACAGAGCTCAGTCGTGGCGGTTGAATCTATGGTTGTCTTTCAAATAGTCTCTGCACGCAATTGGACAGCGCTAGAACCAGTCAGAGCAATGAACAATGTGACGTATTCACATAAATCAGTCATCGCGGCAGTCCGCCATACACCGTCAAAGAAAAAGAAAATGAATCCTTTCTAAAAATTAAGGACTTCAGTACCTCTATCTGCTTATGTCTCCAAAGCCCTTTTTTACAAAACAGTGCCGTCAATTTGCCACAACGCCGTGGCGGCATCAGGGACTCTTAGGTCATTTATAAGATCAGACCGTGGCGGTAACGTGACGCAATCATGGCAATTTTATAAAAGATTAGGTGATGGCGACATAAGGGGTTGTGGGGGGCGGTCTCTGCGCTGCCGCAGACTTCTGTTTATCTTGGACATACAGTAACTTGCTTTTTATTGCGATTGAAGCCGTGATTGTTACGTTTTTTTTAACAAGCAGCTCCTAAAGGTGTCTGTCCCCATCAGTCCCTGTGCAGTCTCTGGTGATCTGAGCTTCAGCTCTAACAGAGAGGCTCGTGGAGCGCTGCGGCGCTCCAGTTTGCCATCTCAGCTGATTTTGTTCAAAAAACAAACCTTATTTCCTGTGTTTACTTTCATTTTCAATACATTTGCCAGCCGGAGTTTAGCAATAACTCCCCACATCATCATGACACCTGCCTCTGTTGCGCCAGGGCACATACGACAGACCATTACTGCAATATCACGACCAAGCGAGGCAGAACGAATGCCGCAAAATTTCGTGCAACGACATGCCGGCATGGCGCGTTTATAAGACATACCATTGCGGTAATATTACGCCAATTTACCGTCATGGTGTGTCTTGTAAAACCGGCTAAAGAATTCCAAATCATCCGAAGTTGATGCCAACGTTCTGCCGTAACGGCTCTAAGCCTGCCCAATGTCTCCCCACAAACATAGAGCACTGTGATTGGCCCAGCCACAACCGTGCCAATGGTAGACCTGCTGAGGCTACAATGGAGCGTGGCTAGACTGACCTGTGGAGCTACTGCTGCAGTCGGTCTAGATTTCTAGGCTGAGAATTTCCTATAATCTTTAATCAACAAGTTCTTCAGTTTGTGAAAGCCTTAGAAACTTCTTCTTTTCTAAAACTGGTGTACTTCCTTTGAAGCCTGTCCCCAGGTGAACACATTTTGAAAACCACAGATAAATGTGACTGTGATGGGAAGAGCTCACAGGTATAAGGTCATTTAGAGAAATGAGCATCCACTGGAGGCTTAGTTTGGTCTGCTTCCTAAATCCCCAGCTCCAGGTGGCCAGCTTTAATAGAATTCTTCTTTAAGAAAAAGCAAGGTTGCTCAAGGCCGCCGCCACCAGAACTAATGAAAAGGACATTAGCCACATTATCCGCTGCCTACAAGCAATAAGGCTGCTGCGGAACAAGCCTAGGTACTGGTATTTATGACGTGGAGAGAAAATGAAATCAGTGTACCATTCTGAGGCCAAGTTGTGTGTTATGTGACTGAGGGAGTCCACGATCAGCTTTGTTCAGGATGACAACTGACAGCGCAAAAGCCTCATGATTGTCCCAATTAGCGATAAAGTCTCGCTCTAATTTAACATGGAGGGTGTAGTGAGGTCGGTATCCTCTATGAAGAGGGATTTAGGCACAGTTCACATGGTAGGTTTTTAAAATTTGTGCTGTGCTGGAGCGAACGGCTGATTGGCTGTTCCTGCTGACGGCCCTCTTCTTCATCACTGGTCCGGCTGTGTTTAACCAGTAATTGCTCTAAGTGGCTGCACCGGTGGGTGCCACTTCAGAAGAGATGTGACTGATCAGAGGGAGCACCTCTGGGAGGTTTTACCTGTGCAGCATTTTTTGGTGAGGCCTTTTGGTGGCTGACTTTAACATAAAAACACTCTTAAAATCACACCATGTGTGATAATGTCCTTATGTTGCGTTCCCAGGGGCCGGACCGTAACAACGTGAAATTGACCAGGTCATAAAAAGTTAGTCTCTTTTACACGACAGGGAAAATTAGCATTGATGGATTCGCCTATTTTGGCATGCAACCGTATAAGGTTGCATTGATTTTGCAGCCAGGATAGAGCAGAGTGTGGTAGGCTAGTAGAAGCTAAACGTTAGCATTAGCAACTCCAGAACATGGTGAAGTAGCTATTTGTTGTTTATTTGAGGAGATAAAACATCAATGTTGCCTTATTTTCTATGGCACGGTATGGGGGCCAAAATTAAGACTACTGCCCAGCAGCAGGAGGCTATATAAATTCCGAAGCAAACTACTGATCTGATTAATGATTAGCTGGCACCGGTAACTGAGAGGCTGGCGCTGCTTACTGAGGAATAGCACCTTTACCGGCATTATTACTAGATACGCTAGGGACTAGCAGCCCACGGCTGGTCATTGACTGGTTCAAAAACTACCTCTGCTGTCTATTAGCATGGATAGGCTAGCGTTAGCCTGGACGGGCTGGTGTTGGCATTGGAGAAGCTAGCCATTAGCGTGCCTAGGCTAGCCACTAGCTGGATTTCCTACCTCCTCGACGGACCATTGGCATGGATAGGCTGGCGTTAGCATCGGAGAGGCTAGCCATTAGCGTGCCTAGGCATGCTACTAGCTGGATTTCCTACCCCCTTGACGGACCTTAAGCATGGATAGGCTAGCATTAGCATCGGAGAGGGTAGCCATTAGCATGTCTCGGAGAGTCACTAGTCAGCTAGTGGCCAGCCTAGGCACGCTAATGGCTAGCCTCTCTGATGCTAACGCCAGCGTATCTATGCTAATGGTTTGTCAAGGGGGTAGGAAATCCAGCTAGTGGCCAGCCTAGGCACGCTAATGGCTAGCCTCTCCAATGCTAACACCAGCCCGTCCAGGCTAACACTAGCCCATCCATGCTAATAGACAGCAGAGGGAGTGTGTGAACCAGTCACTGCCCAGCCGAGGGCTACTAGTCCCTAGTGCAGGGATTCCCTAAGTGTGGTACGCGCACCCCTGGGGGAGCGAGAGCTGCCGCTAGGGGGTGCGCGAGGTGAAAAGTGTAATGGCTGCGGAGCTCAGAGAAGTCTGTCACATGTCACCATTAGCATAGCCAGAAACTCATTTGTGGGTGGGCCTAAGAAAAAGTAAGTGGGCCCGATAAATGTAACTGAAAACAAGTATATTGTGTGTGTGTGTGTGTGTGTGTGTGTGTGTGTGTGTGTGTGTGTGTGTGTGTGTGTGTCCTCCGCATGTGCCCTAGCTTCATAATAATAATGCGCCGAGCTTCAGCGCTCTGGCCTGCACACGCTAATAGCAAGATATGTTCCGTATTTGATCATTTTTAACAATGTTGGAGGAATCTGAAGGTGGTGAGTCATTCTGGCAGATTGTAATTAACACCCTGTCTCATGCAGGTGTTCTGACATTGTAAACCTCACACACAGAACATTATGGAGGATGTAACTAAATAAATCAAGAAATGATTCCCATCTGAGCATTTTAGCATTATTATATTATTATATTAGCACACTGACTGTGGGACAGCATTCTAAACGTGTCAGGCTATTAACAGCACCCTGAAGATCTGAAGTTCAGAGTGCGTCTGTCAGAGGTCAGACGCGTTCCAGCAGAACCATGGCTCACGGGTGCACATGTGAGCACATCTGGGCTGGGCAGAAGCAATTTTACAACATTGGTTTAAATAGCGCCAATAACGAGACGTGGTGACTGGAGCGGCTCGTGGAGCTGTGCCGCAAACACACACACACACACACACACAAATTCAATAAGCGCACGCTGCACGGCGTTGAGCTGCGCTGTGCCGTCAGACTGAAGGCGGAAATGAGCGCTGCCTCCTCCGTGATAAAAACTTTTAAGAGGTTTTATAACATTTTTCATTCAAGGTCAAATTAAGATATTAGCTTCTATTTTGGGATGACGTATTAAAGTCGGGTCCGCTCCAGCCAGTGACTCCGAACCTGACCACAACTCATGTTACTGCAGCATTTGTTGTTCCAGTCCGCGTGGCAGCGGATCGCAGATTCAGCCACACCATAAAACAGCAATAAGTCGGTCTGAGGCAAAAGTGAACCTCATGGCTTTTCCATCTTTTCCCCTACAGACATTTGATTACGCACAAGTAGGTGACCAGTTCAAGTTTACGCAGAGCAGAAGGAAGGAGAGCACTCTGGGCACAGGTTAAACGTTCCTACTTTAAGAAAACAATTAAATTGCATTGTTTATGTGCTACCTGGGCACTCTAAATATTTAATTAAAATTAAATCAAAGGAAATTGTAATGGTAATGAATGTTTATTAATTACTATTTCAAAAATGAAAGTGATGGGGAAAAAGGTCGATCATATTTTTTTAACCCTGTCTGTTTAGCTTGACGTCTGAGATATATATATATATATATATATATATATATATATATATATATATATATATATATATATATATACAAATATAGCCATGCCCTGATGTGGGGGCTGGGGGGTGCGTCGACATGGTCGGGACATAGAAGGGGGTGCGCGGCTAAATAAGTTTGAGAACCGCTGCCCTAGCGTATCTAGTAATAACGCCGGTAAAGGTGCTATTTCTCAGTAGGCAGTGCCAGCCTCTCAGTTACCGGCACCAGCTAATCATTAATCAGGTCGGTAGTTTGCTTCAGAATTTATATAGCCTCCTGCTGCTGGGCAGTAGTCTTAATTTTGGCCCCCATACTGCGCCATAATTTTCCCCAAGTAAGAATAGCAAACAACGGCAGCAACAGAGTACATTTGCATATCATCAATGTTGATGAGTCATTTTCCGCCTCCCACTTCTCTGATTAACTTCTACCTCCTGAAACAGAAGTGCCAGAGCTTTCATTCCACAGGAAACAACTCACGAGGCATTCATTCACCCTAGAGACCAAAGCCCACCATAATCATCCTGCCGTGTGATCTGGGTCTAAGTTGAAACATATGACACATTTTATTTATCCCTCTGATTTATTTCTAGATTTGTTGTTGTTTGATGAAATGATTCCTTTGCTTTTCTGACGACACTCTGCTTTGTTGAGCCAAGGTAAACATGAAGACGTTTGAGTCGGCCATTTTAATTCCGCCTCAGACAGCAAAAAGACTTTCCTTTCAATACACTTGAACACTTCTCAACAGGCGAACATGTGGCGTCTCCTTAAACATTCCTACAAAACTGAGCTTTGGTTTTCTTAGGATCTTTCTATCCTTTCTCACATCAGCTGACAAAAGTGGATTCTTGAACTATGGCGAGTCTGCCATTAGTCAATATTGACAGAAATGGCAGCTTTTTAGATACACCTAGCGAGGAGTACGACAAGCAAACATCTGCTGTGTAAACCTGTTGCCAAGTAGGTAAACATGTTTATCAACTGTGTCAAAGACAAATAGAGCATAGACTACCGGAGGAGCAATATCGCTGAGTCATAACTCTGTCTGGACCCACTGTGTAACATTAGATTACTATGACTGCTGTCACACTAAAAGCATCGTTAGTACTGGAAGACGTTTGGATGATTATCCAAAGAAACACGGTCTAATGTACACAAATGTTAATGAAAGCAGACAATTAAATCTAGAAATGACTTAAATTGCTGTGACAGCAAATGGTCCACCTTCATTACTTAGAACAGATGGTAATAGATGCTGCTGCAGTGAAACATGGAGGTCTACAACAGAGCTGACAAAAAGAAAGCAATCACTAAATTATACTGACAATAAACTGAGCTGAATATTTAGGCAGAGAGGAAGAGAGGCTACCTGATAGAGGAAATCTTCAAACACAAAGTAGTAGTCATCGTTACTGGCGGTGAGCTTCACATCCTGTTGGGTCAACACACAGAGTTTGTGTAAAGTCCTTCACGTGGAGCAGGAAAAAAGGTAGGCCGTCCCACCTTATAGATGAGGTTATCAACCAGCAGGTCATGTTGTATGACTCCAGCCTTTAGCTGTTCGTAATGCATCTCGTCCTGAAATAAGAGATTTGAAATGTTTTATATTAGCAATGATTAAGGATCACATTCGGAACGGAAGGTGTTCAGATGTTTTTGAGTGTTTGCTAATAAAGTTTGAAATTTTCATTTGCATCATAAGATAGTTATTTGATCTAGTTTAGATAAACAGTGTCGTTTTGGCCGGATTGATATGCTAACGGCTAGTCACTGTGAAGTTAACATCATTGCTGCAATCTTAAAACATTGTCCGTCTCTAAAGTTTCATAGCATTCACACCATGATATAAATCATTATTCTGTGATAATTGTTTAGATAATCCTGCTTGAAGTGAACAAGGCTAACTGGAAATGTTCAGCTAGCTGCTGCTACTGCTAGTTACTGTCACAAGTCACTACTGTGTTTTTGTAAGCTTGAGCAAATATAATGAAAAACCCACGACAATACAAATGTTAGAGACAAAAGTTACAGTGGCTTTGATTCGTTTTAACCCTGTTGAGATTAGCGATGGGTACCGAATTCGGTACTTTTTAAGGTACCGACCGAATTTCACAGTACCAACTGAGCACCGATTCACGTCATTTGAAACGGTGCCTCGTTTCGGTACCCGTTCTTCATAATGAGAACTTGCCTAGACAGCTGCGCATGCGCAAGAGCGTTATGTCGTCGGTCGCTGCGAGCGAGTTGTAAACAGAGCAGCATGGTAGAAAGAACGCACGCTAAAGTTTGGGTCCACTTCACTAAATGTGATGGGTAACTGGGTGATGATGAAACCAGCGACAACGATCTAAGTGACACATCTTCATCTTAATCTGCTCCGGTGGGTAAATAAAATGTTTAAGATAACATTAGCTTGATATGTTGGCTTCCGTTTCGCTAATGGTGCATTCGCTTTCTCCTCGGAACTCCGAATTTCCAACTAGAAGAACATGAACACACTCTAAAGTTTGGCTTCACTTTACTAAATGCGACGGGTGATTGGGTGAAGATGAGACCAGCAACAACGATCTAAGTGTGAGACATCATCGTTTTAATCTGCTCCAGCAGTTAAATAAACTGTTGAAGATAACGTTAGCTTGATATGTTAGTTTCCATTGCCACCATTGTTATCAGCTAATGGTGCGTTCTCTTTCTCCTCGGAAATTCTAACTTCCCAGTAGGAAAAATCAAATGAAAAAAGACGGCAAAAGTAATGAAGATACACAGTAAATTTAGTTCACAGTAAAGATGTTTGCTTCAGTTTAATTATCAGCTTATAAAACCACAAGGACGATGTTAAAATACAAACAGTTGTATGTTATTTATCGTGAAATTTATCAAATATGGTTATACATTGAGAAATATATGTATTTAATTATAAAAGAGAATTAAAATAATAAACACTCAAAAGTATCGAAAATTGGTACCGTTAAGTACCGGTATTGATTCCTAGGTACCGGGAATTAGTACCGAATCGATTCAAATGTCAAAGGTACCCATTCCTAGTTGAGATTAGCCATTAGCTGTAAGCTAACTGGCACTAAAAGATCCAAGGAAATATTCTTTAAAGTGTTCTATAGCAAAAAAGCAAAAATAAATAAACCATGAAGTTTTTGTTCAAACTTTACCAAAAGGGTCCCTTAATTACCATTACTTAGTGCATTATTAAGCATTAATAAACAGTTCCTTTATTAACGTTCCGGATGTTATTAAATATTAAGCGTCCTTAAGATTAGGACAAAGGGCCGATGTAGGTGGGTGTGTGTGCTAAGTAATTAGATAATGTTAAGCAAAAAGTTAAGCAGTTGTTATTACTTTATTTAATATTTTATTAATGCTTAATAACACAATAAGTAACATTAACGAAGGGGCCCTTATTTTAAAGTGTTACCAAACTTTTTACAGTCCAGGTGATCTGTGGCAGTGAGCGAGACGACAAAATCTGGGAGTATGGAAAGTCAAATGGTAATAATTTTTGAATAATAAATACTAAGTAGAACACCAGGCATGTAATAAACACTGCCTGTACAAAACAGATTGATTAAACAAAGGAAATGATAAAACTAGCATTTCACATTTGATTCGTATTTCTCTGTTGTACCAAACTGTGAACCCAAAACTAAAGTCCTCGCTGGATGGTAAATTATGTGTACCAATACACCCTCACTAGTCTCCATATCTCATTCAAACCGTTGTCAACACCAATCAGACATTACTGGCTCACCTCAGTTCTACAGAACCCCTCGTCAGTGAATAATCTTGTATTCTAACGGCACCTTTTAAACAGCGCAGTTAAGTGAAATGTTTTCAGCCCGTTCAGAATCCATCCCTCACTCGCTTCACGGATCCTGCTACATCAGCTTCGCGGCTCCTCGGTGACGACGGTGAGCCTAACGGAGGCGCGGCACGTTTCCAAGTGGATGTTTAAGCTCCAACGTGTCTCCGGTTTCAGACAGGTTGTCGAGAGAGAGCCAAACGGAGCAATAAAAACGTCCTCCGCGACAGATCGGGAGCAAGGTGACGATGATCCGCTCTGCAGATGCGAGAGCAGAAACAGAGAAGGTGCTTTTGACAGCTGAGGGAGGACACAGAAACCGCTGGGGGGTTCATTAGAAAAGAGTTCAAATAGGTTCTGCTAAAACACTTGAAGCTCATAATCTGTCTTGCTGGGGAAAAGTAGAAAGAAGGGCGCCAGCTGTTACCTTTCAAGGTAATAACTCTTCAGCATCACTGGTATTAGCCGAGCATACTGCGAGTGGTATATAAGACACAAACACACTCCGTTTCACCCCGACACTCTCCAGATCTTTCTCTGAGTCACTTTAACAAATCGATCTTCTGATCAGGAGCTCGGTTTTCCGGCCTTGGCTTCACCAGAAGCTTGAGGCGATTTTTTTGCCACACAGACAGGCAGCAGCAGCTCTGTTTGGGCTAACTGAGTGAAAGCATTTGATTATCTTAACAGTTGTACACAGAGAGCAAGCTGAGCCCTGCTAAGATAAACAGCATTGCAGCAAAACACACAGATTACAAAGAAATTATAGACGGGTTGGTGTTATATGTCATATGTTGGGCTCTTCTTAGTGTGCGGCGTAAATCCTAGAACTGAGAAGCACAGGAGGAGAAGCCAACTTAAAAAAAAAAGGAGCTGCAGCTGAGTGGGAATTAATGCAGCTGTGTATGCATGAGCGGTTTACAACAAACACTGACAGCAGCCACCGGAGGGCTAAATTAGCCGTAAATGTGTGCGCCTGTGCGGATGCATCTGCTGCCATACCTGCGGCTGGTTCATGGAGTTGAGGATGAGGGCCCACAGGTCCGCCCTCAGTCCAGTGGGACAGCCCCGCCTGCTGTACTGCTGAGCCGCAGCACTGTCCTGCTCCATAACAACTGGACACAACAACAGCTGTTTGTCAACACGTGCTAAACAACGTGTCCCTGAAATGACTTGGTGAGCCAGAAAAAGAGCATGAATACCCTGTAAATGACACACATTACCATGCAGCCACTGTTTTTCTGTTTCACTTCATTAAAAACCACCGGGACCATCAAATGTAACAAAGCAGAATTACACAATACGTGCCAAAATATTTAAACACCGCTATCTAAAAAAGACACGTGGGGAAACGGACACATGGACAACAGGAGGCAGGCAGATAAACATCAAAAACAGTGGCGAGACATGATAAAAATAAAAACAGAACAATCAAAGGTCCACCACTTCACCCACAGACATTCATGCCAGGAGTCCCAATATTAAAATGTAATAATAGCAATAATCCTTCCATCCTGCATTGTCTGTTCACAGCTGATCTGCTTTCGTCTACATGTGCACACTTATTAATTAGATGTGTTTTGCTAATGACTACAGAATAAAAGCATCAGAGGAAGTGAAAGATTTACATGCCGAACAGCTGCTTTCAGGACAACACATAAATGCTACAAGATCTTATCGTTTCCAATCAGGTTCCGGTCGATCTGCAGCGGCAGCAAGGAGCTGTGTGCTGCAGGTGCGGCGAGCTGTTACATCATATAGTGCGCACCCAGAGCGGCAAATTTAAGCGGGGACAACAAAAAGTGACATGACAATAACACACGGGTGTACCACCCGCATCACCGTCCTATCTACCTTTCCGGAACTGCGCTGCTCTGGGTGGCTGCATGTTGGAGTAGCTCTGTTGACTATATGTAAGTTTTGCCTTTTCTTGGACGTTTTTTCTTCTAGTTTCTCAAGAAGAACAGTATTTTTTGGACACTTTTCTGTTTCTGGTGCTGTGAAGCTTGGAGGATTTTTACTGCTATTTTTTAGCTTTTTTCACTTTTTGAGCATTTGTTATGATGCGTAACCGTGGCAACAGGCTGGTTTACAATCGGGAGCAGCTGATTAACATTGGAAAGGCAGAAATAATACCTCAACTGAAGCCACAAATCCCAGATGAGCTAAACGCAAGAAGCGTGGATGCAGAGCGGGAGCAAAATGGAGACGGAGAAAGAGGAAATTCAAACCATCTCTTCCATCGACCATAATGGGCAATGTGAGACCACTGGCCAACAAGATGGATGAACTCCAAGCCCTTTCAAGGACTCAGCCAGAGTTTCGGCAGTTTCGGAACCACTGGAGGAGATAATGCAAAGAAAGATTCTCCAGAGAATCAAGAAAATTATGGACAACCCTGAGCATTCTCTTCACAAGACTGTCCGACAACGGAAGTCTCTTCAGTCAGAGGCTTCTTCAGTTTCGCTGCAACACTGACCGCTTCCTGCCAACAGCCATTGTAATATACAACAACTCTTTGATGACTTGATTATTATTATTATTCTGAGCTACTACAGCAATCAATTTCCCTCTGGGATTAACAAAGTATTTTTGAATTGAATTGAATTGAATCTGTCCAAAGTGGAACAGTATCCCTGTACCTCTGCTGACAGAAAACCCTACGTACCTTAGCTTTACAGCTAAATTAAAAATTAGTTATGGTCAAATATGCATTTTACACAGTAGAGGATAAGCAGCAGCAATAATTATTTGATTTTTTAAATTATTATTTTACAGACAAGTGCTCGTGACATGAAGATGCTTTTTTAAAACTTATTATTTTAAGTAATATTTGTAATAGTACACTCTCATACACACAGATCGCGTAGCTAGTTGTCCTTTAAAAACGAGATTCAGGTTTTTAACAGACTTCATGTAAAATTGTAACTTACGCTATTAACAATGATGACATTTTTACCCTGTATGTAACCTTTCTGTTGGATAATGGATGGAGGCCCTCGGCTACGATTGGGTATGTTTACAAACATGTATATCATGCTTTGTCCATTAACATGCACTGCCTCAATCTGTACTGGCCAAAATGGCTGCAGCAAGCTCTGCAGAGTTCACATTTTGAGTGGCTTTGTGAACGTTTGGCGCTGCTAGAGATTGAAAGACTGATTAAAGCTGAATAGCTAATTCACAGAACAAGCTAGCTTTTAAATGCAAACACGGTCATGGAACACTCAGCCCTCCCCTCAGGAATTATCCCTGGGCCTTGTCTGCCAAAACGGTAAACCTGCACTTCCAGAAACAAGAATATGCTAAACATCAGTCGCCGTTTTCTAGTTCTAAACGTCTTTTGTTGTCCGTGACTTCAAACTGTGCTTTCCTTCTTGGGACTCTGGTAGTTTGTCCTAAAGTTGAAGAGGTAGCAGCCGGCTGTTTCTCCTTCTCTGATATTATTGAGCGGAGAACCTCCCACACCAGGGGTGTTGTGTTGTTAAATACATGTGTAATGAGTGGAGGAGCCAGATAAGTGCAGAGGTTGGGTGAGACCAAAAACCAAACGGTCTAATCATTGCTTTCGGTTCTAAACGTGTCTTTGGCGGGGGGTTTTAGACAAATGCGAGAGAACTAATTACTTTTCCACTTTTTGTATCTCCACAATATATTCATTGATATATTATGTTAGAATGTTGTTAAGAGGCATGAGGGAAATGTTTATGAGCTTGTTTTGCAAATTTGCTATTGCAGCTTTAATTGCGGTTTTGCTCAAATGTGGAAAATAGCTTGGGAGTTTTGTGAATGACTTTCAGCTACAGAAGCGTCACATTTTAGTTCAATATCTATAAAACTGAAAAGGTTACATCAAGTTTTGTGTTTGCTAATGTTGATTAGCCAATGGTGTCCACCTTGGATTAAACTGACTCCAAAAGTGAATCAGTAAGATGTATGTTCGGTGATTCGTTTCTGAAATCTTTCCGATGAAAAAATTTGCCGACAAAAAACACAGAAAAACTTTACGTTTGGCCGCGGGCAAGAAATATAAAAAAAATGTCACAAATATGTAAAAAGGAATCATTGTGGCCATCACTCTACAGAATGTCATCGTCTATTCTTGGATCAGAACACAATCTTCCCAAAATTCCTACATAATTTTCCTAGAACCACTCAGACTCAGGCTGAAAACGGACCTTAAATCTCTGTTGTGACAGAAACCAAAAACAGTTTGACTCGAGGTGCTGGCCACTTGTAGCATAAACCAACCCAATCCTCACCTCCTAAATTTCCTGTTTGACTGCACTTAGCGCTTGGCATTGAGACTGAAGCCAACTGAGGATGAAATAGTGAACCGAGGGCGTGGGGTTGTGTACACAAGCTAAAAACTTGTGTTTTTAGGACTGGTGTCGGTATGAAGGCCGCTGTTTACACTGACTTCATGACAGAGAGATGACTGACGACAGCACCGGAGAGAGCGCCAATCATTCAGAACATGTTTGGGATTTTTGATGAGTATCTGTGACGGAACTACCGAGTCAAACTAAAACTTCTGTCTTTTGTTTGCGCTGCACAAACCTAGAGCCAAGGCTCACAGACAGACTGTAATTAGATTTAATTTTTTTTAAGATTATTGAAAATATTGGGAAAAATTAAGTTAGGAAAGCTTAATTTAGAACGATGGCTGGGTCTTCTCAGCCAGTCTCCATACAAAAAACAGCCCTTTCAAGATGTCAGCATATCACTTCGGCGGCGAGTGATGTCACCGGTAAGGGCCAAAAGGTGCCCACGGCCATTCATTACTAACATTAAAAATGTTAGAGTACGCTGTGTGTTCTTTCACTGATTTTTTTGTACACAAAGTTTATTCTCTACCCTATTGCTGAGGTAAAGAAAATGTTTGCTACTCTGCATAATACATAAGAATCCATGAAAGAATTGAAAAGAAACGCAGAATCGAAATGAACAGTGGGCGTGTAATGTAAAAAGCTGCATTCAATGACCAGAAGAAACGCCATTGAGGAGGGATTTCTGAGGCATTCTCCAGCAGCTAGGGTTTAGGAACTTTGATTTTAAAGTAGAGTCAACGCTGTTTATTTTATTTTCCTTCCATTCTGCCTTGCCAGCAACTCTTCCAATTCTACAAATGCTGATTGTTGGGCGATGTTTGCTGCTGTCCTTTTCTACAGAATTACAACCAATCAGTATGAATTAACCACAAGTCCCGCCCAGTGACTCTACCGGGATATTTCCACGAGCATACCCCGATCCAGGTACTCGGTTGGTTCCTGAAAAGAACCAGAAAGTGGTCCTTTGGGAGACAAGCGCATACGTCCCAATAGAAATAAACGCTATAGTAGAATCAATCCTGACAAAGTCACATTTTTTACATTTATTTTATGTTTTAATTCAATTCAATTCAATTCAATTCAAAAATACTTTATTAATCCCAGAGGGAAATTGATTAATTGATTAATAAAAAATGACAAGAAAGAACTGAACAGCCTAAGAGTTATAGAGCTGCACAATACAAGCAAAATGTGGAATATTATTATTAAATATTTAGATTTTATTGGTTAAGAACAATTGCTGTCTTAAAATAGTTTAATCAATAACCTGATATTTAAGATTCTAATCTTCGGGAAAGTCCCATTAGTCATCCCACACAGGTGAGATTCATCTCCACATTTGACCCGTGGGGAGCGGTGAGCTGCAGCAGTGGCTGCGCTCAGAAACTATTTGGTGGTTTAACCCCCAATCCAACCCCTTAAAGTCGAGTATCAAGCAGGGAGGCGTTGGGTCCCGTTGTTAAAGTGTTTGGAATGATCCAACCGTGGCTTTGAACCCCGATCTCCCAGTCCCAGGGTGGACACTCTACCACTAGACCACCGAGCTGGTTCCAACCTTCATGAATAGTTTACAATAAACGTGCAATGGTAAAATAATAAATATATTAGTGATTAAATTAAAGTAACGGAATAATAGTTTACAAGTATGTACTATATCTCATGACCCACGGGATGTACTTTAATGAAACATCTGCAATTCTCCACTGGATGTGGAGTCAGCACCATTCAAGATGGCTGCTACAGTTGATCAATATTAGCAAAAACTCATCAGTTTTATTGGTATTGAGCTCAAACTTCACATGGAGGTAGCTGAGGCCTAGTCCACACGTAGCCGGGTTTTTTAAACGAATATCCGCCCCTCCAAAAACTTGCATCCACACCACCTCGTTTTAAAAAAAACTCTGTACACACGTACACGGATAAATACGTTGTTAAGGACATGCCAGACCTGTAGGTGGCAGTATTTCCCCCATTCTTAACCTCGTCCTTCGTCTGTGGTCTTCCGCAAGGAGCAGTAATTCCGCTTGCAAAAACAAACAAGCAAAAAGCGCTTGGACAATTGATAAAGCGAGCGCAGCTCTGAGGGCATCCATGCTGTCGGCTAGTGTAAACACAGGTCGCACACGTGATGTCAGCATTTTTTTTTTGTCGCGGAAAGTGACGTTGCGGACCTTAAAACTTCGGTTTTGTCTGTCCACACGCAGACACCCAAAACGGAGAAAATGCAGATCTTCACTTTGGCCGGAGTTTTTAAAAAGATCCGTTTTCGTGTGGATGACAGGCCAAAACGTAGAAAAATATCTACGTTTTGGCAGATCCCCGGCTACGTGTGGACAGGGCCTGAGACTCACACAAAGAACACGCTCTGAGATCTGGCAGGCCGTGGTAAATGGTGCATTAGGTAACAGAATTTTACTGTCAAGTTTTAACCAAATCATCTGTAACTCCAAGACTCTCTGCAGACTTAACTCAGGCACGAATGTCGACGGTCGACATGCGTTCCATCAAAGAACAGAGTCCTAAGAACCTAAAACACACCAACCTTTTTCCCCGATCTGTACGTAGCTGTTTTCAAACAGGTCTGCATGGCAAAGGAGGGTGGGGTGGGGGAGGAGGGGGAGAGAAAAGGAAGCAGAAAAGTTATCGGTCTGAGTAACAAACACAGAGATAGGGGGGGGTGATTCTGTTCTATTTCAGGCCCGAACAGCAAACTGTAACAACGTTAATATCTAAACTCTATGCAGATAGTGTCTGAGAAACCCCAGACTGAGGAGCACAGGCTAGAACGCTCGGTGGTTAGGCAATCTGTTTGATGCATAAACACTTTATTTAACCACAACAGGAAGTAGTTTCTGTGTGTTTTGTGGTATTTATTGACTGAAGAATGCAACATAAGTTGTTTGTGGTCTTTTTTTTTCACATTTCTTTTCATACCTGGATGGATGTTTGCTACATCGTCAATCCCCAGCTGCCCCAAGTTTAAGCTGAGCTCTGAGTAGGCCTTTCTCTGCAAGATAGCAAAACAAATCCAGTCTTAATGCCATGTCCCGGGTCAGCTTCAGTTTGAGTTTTAGAAAGGCCCACTGATAATACACAATCAGGGATGCCTACCAGCTGTGGGATGTCCCGGACGCTGAGGGGAACCTGGACGAGACCCCAGTGGCTCCAGGCGCTCACGTCCTCGCAGCTGTCACGGTTTGGGTTCCTCAGATTGATCAGAACCTGATGTAATGAACTGGAGTTAACGTCTTGATCAAAGCAAACATTCATGAGTGAGAAACAATTTAATTACCTCAAGAAAGTCTTTAGGGGCATAAACGGGCCTGAATCGACTTAAATCTGCAGGAAACACAATAACAGCGTTTATGGGACGTTGTTTATGAACGTATCTATCTGACAGGCTTTAGAGGGAGTCACATGAGTTAAAAACTCATGAGGCCAGCCACAATGGGACTTCCACCCTCTGTGTGAGTGTGTGCCGCTCGTTATCGCAGCTCCGCGCGAGAGGTCTGGACAGCTTCTTCATCCTCCGTCTAAAGTGTTTACAGTCAGCGGACGGCACATCCTAAATGTTATTATACGTTCCTGAGCCGTGATAAAACTGTTAGGACAAAAGACGAGCGTGTCCTCTGGAAAGCAGCCAACTAAGAGTTAAAACCAGGTCGGTACAAGCTAATAAATCCTAAGTGCTTCCATTCATTTGAAGTCAGGGATTTTCTCTCCATTTCTAAGTCAAACCACCGAGTTAAGGTCTGCAGACCTGGTTCGTCCGTGCCCATCTCGTTCCACTTGTTGGTGAGCTCCGTCTGCTCCGCTGCAGGCCTCTGTGGAGCAGCAGAAACCCCAGATCTTAACAAAAACACATCTAGAGCAATCTCTGCAACAGCTTCAGACAGAGGTGGACATGGGAGCTTTTAATACCTTGCGAGCTAGAGGCACTTCGAGCTCCGTGCTCATGCTGTTCAGGCTTTTGAGAACTCGTTTCTCCCAGCTGGCCTACGAGAGGGGAGCAGGCACGAATTTGGATTTAGATAGCATCTGAGTTGCATGTAAAGGGAGGGGGATTCATGTCTCTGGCATCTGATGGAGGAAACGGTCCAAGACTCAAAGGAGGCTTGAGAAGAGGATGATGGAGATAAGAGGTGACAGACTGACCTGAGCCTTACGCATGTAGGCCAGCGGCTCTTTGAGATGCTCTGGTGGAGCTCTGGGATGGTTCGGAGGCAGCTGGCTGGATTAGAGAAAACGACAAGTGTACATAAAAGTGTCCAAACAGAACGACAGCTTTCCGAGATTAGTGCCAATAAAACAAACAAACATTAAAAAACAAGAAGTCAGTCAAACAACAAGTACATCAGAGCCTGCTTGGTTTGTCACCGTTAGTGCCCCACAAACACAGCCCAGATGAGTCAGAACACGCCTCCACCCAGTGAGCTGATGGTGTCCTGCATGACTCAAAGTCTCAGGGCATTAAACAGCGTTCGGCCTAATCTAAACACCTTCAAGAGAGCGCAGGGACGACTCCAGGCCAGTAACAGGAGGCAGCCATCCATCTGTTGACGGCTGAGACCAGAGAGGGTCACCGATCCTCAAAGATGACTGAAAGAGGAAGATTTGTCAAAACACTAATTGACCTACAAGGAAAAAGGAGGGAAAGCAGAAAGTTCCTGAGGCAGGTATTAAAATACCTGATTGATGGATCCCACCTGAGCAAAGGCTTTTATATAGAGAATTATGAGACGATTTCATTTAAGGTAAAAGCAGTTTTTTTTTTTACGAGACAGGTTCATGAAGTGCTTTGCCTCAAATACCACACACATAACACAAGCTCAGCAGTTTTATTCTTGACAGTTTCACTACCTTCCAGAGTAAGCCGTTATGGGGCTAGCCGCTCGCACCCATTCTCTGATTGGCTACTATGAGGTGAGGAGTTCAGAGTAGTCTCTGCTCCTCGAGTGTTGACAGGTGAGAGGCGGTTGAGAATCAAAAACCGGTTCTTCTTGAGAACCGATTCCCATCATTTCAGTTTCTTTTTGCAAACGATTCCCCTCATCAATTCCAGTCGGCGCGAATGACGTCAGCACCCACATTGCATAGCTTACGGAAGCAGGAAACGTGGCGCCTAAGTGGCACATTCGCTCAAAAGGTTTGTTCAATTCTACGAGAAAGCATGACAACGGGGCAACTCGCTATACTTGCTAAGTAGATATTTCATCAAGGGGAGGAAACGCTACAAATAAAGCATTTGGGGTCAAAATATGCGATAACTTAAGTTAATGACGCGTTTTGACCCACTCCGGACTAGAGAAGTTCAACGCAGCAGCAGCGGTGACGTTCGCACGTCCACTCCTGTTAATAAATGATAAATGACCCGCACTTGTATAGCGCCTCTCAGAGTAAGGACTCCAAAGCGCTTTACACTACAGTGCATCATTCATCCATTCACACACATTCACACGTTGGTGGTGATGAGCTACCGTGCAGCCACAGCTGCCCTGGGGCGCACTGACAGAGGCGAGGCTGCCGAGTACAGGCACCACCAGTCCCTCCGACCACCACCAGCAGGCAAGGTGGTTTAAGTGTCTTGCCCAAGGACACAACAGCAGAATTCTCTGTCCGGAGCCGGGATCGAACCTGCAACATTACGATTACCGGACAACCCGCTCAACCTGTTGAGCTACTGCTGCATACTGCAGGTAACTAATCAGCTAACACTGCCCATCATGTTAGCGTCATTTACCGTACATACACACCTCCACACTAGCACACTCCAGCAACAGAGATGTTTCCCACTCTGCAAAAGCAACAGCAAGAAGACGACTCTGCCTTCTCAAACAGCATAAAAGAGAGCATTTGGAAAGATCTTTCCAACTGATATCAGGAAAGATTGATTATTTAGCCTTAATAAACTGACAGTTGTAAAGCAGGAGACCGTGTGCATTTAGTTTTTTGCCACCTATTTAACTACTCTGGGACTGATAAGGGAACTGGATTGATCGACAGAATCGACAACATCATTGATATTGATAAAAACATATCAATTCCCATCCCTTTGGTTCTACGCTAATTATCTCATTTGTGACATGACAAACTGGGACTTTAGGGACCCACATGGCAGCACAAAAATACACAGTGAGTTTTGCTTAATAAGTCTCATTTAAAGGTATTGACCAGACTCTGCATTAAAATTGTAGAAATGCAGTATAACTACACTTTACCATCTATATAAATATGAACTGGGTTCAGTTTTTTATTTTGTTAAGGACTTTTGTCATAAATCATTACAGAAAATCCAAATCCTCTCCTCCAGACAGTGAAGAACCGTGTTCCGCATACGTCACTCCAACACCTCAAACGAGGTAGCTGCTGTCGCTAGTATTGTGAATCACTGTTATTTGTTTACTTTCGTGTTCCTAATTATTACGTAAAATTGAGTTTGCAGCTGCAGCAAAAGGTCTGAGCCATGTATCGGTGTCCTACACATTTTTAAATAACATAGATCTGATCTAAAATAACAACCTACATCTATAAATCCATCCGCTGACGGTACAAGATCTGCTCGGGTGCAAGATCGGCTCGGGGTCCTTCGACTGCCGATGACGTCAAAGTAGTTGATTGGCTGAACATGAACCTTACGGAATTACGTAATCACGTTACGTTGGTCCAGGCAAATTTTTCTGTTGGAAAGATGGACAACTTTTACAAAGAAATCCATCATTACGTCTTTGAAAATAAACTTTTAGCATAGAGCTGCATGTATATTAGGGCTGAAAGATTAACTGCATGTGCAATTAAATTGCGATGTGACAAAAGGAGATTTTCTAATCGCAAAGGCTGCAATTTGGCAGCGAGTGGTTAGCGCAATGCTAATATACGTGGAAAAACCCATAGGAATGCTAATGCTAATATCACCCATTACATTCTTACAAATTATGAATTAGAAACGTGCCAAATGATTACATTTGGAGTCTAATAGAAAGTAAAACTACCATCAATCAAATAAGTACAGACAGGTATTTTAGTAAAGCCAGAAAACTTTTAACTCCAGAGTTTTGGCTAGCAGCTATGAGCGTAACTGAACTACGCATGGACAAGACGTCAAAAACTCTAAACACAAAATACTTCAATAAACGGGACACACTTCTTTCCTGCAAATTCAATTTCACAGGTGTTGCTAATACCTATGATCCTTCAAGGGATGTGCTCAAAGAGGAGTTCAACATTATGAATACAATATAGTGTTTTATTTTACAAATACCATTATAAACACAAACTTACGTCTTAAGAAACATTATTTTAATAACAAAACTGCTAAATTCTTTCCAACAGTATAGATGTGTAGTGTATTTTGTCCGAGTGGGTTTGCCGTACTTTGACGTCATCAGCAGTGGAAGGACCCTGAGCCGATCTTGCACCCGAGCAGATCCTGTACCGACACCGGAACCTCATCGCTACTTCTGGACTACAGACGAGTCCCGTTAGCATGATTGCAGCAACACTGTTAACTGTGTTAGCTCCGGTAAGGAAAACACAAGTCATTTGTGAAAGCTACGACACACACACACACACACACACACACACACACAGACACACGCACACAGAGATATAATCTAAAAAGATGATCCCCATATTTCAACAATAGATCCACCGTGGATCGGCAAAACCTCCGATGCCATCCTGGATTAGCACAAACAACGAGCCAAACTAAAGTGTTACTTCAGCATCTGGAAGATTTATTCTGGTAAGCTAAAGCTAGTGGTTAATATTTTCCAGAGTTATATCAGTATATGGAGCGGTAAAACTGGCAGCACATTAGTTTATTTATCTGTATATTACTGAATAATATTGGGACACAAGATGGAGCTAAGACCAGCTGAGAACTCGTCAGCTTTGAGCTCCTGATGGAGCACACAAATGAAATATTTAAAAGTAAACAAACTGTACCGATTTTGGATCTGAAGATGAACAGAATCCTCCTCTATGTCCAAATCGGGTCGCAGGTCTTCTCAGTCAAACGGTCCAAAACATGTCTGCACCTCTGGTAGTGATATCCAGTTAGCGGGGTCGGAGTTCGGTTGAACTTCTCCGGTAATCCAATATCCGTTCTCGTCGCCGTATCCCAGAGAAAAAACAAATCTGACCGACTAGCAGAGGCTTCAGAAGCTACATCTGATTGTGACACGTTGTTCTCTGCTATAACGCTAACGCAGAAACACCGGAGTCAGGCGTTGTTTACTGCAGCTGTTTCAGCAGAGCTCCATGTGAAACGTCACCAGCTGCCCAGGGCTTAGACTAGGGCTGGGCGATATGACGATTTTAGACCGTTTTACGATCTACACATCTGACGGTCTGTCATTTTTGAGAGACCTTTTTATCACGATTCACAGCTCTGCTGTTGAAATTCTGCCTCTGAATGAAAAGGGAACTTACCTCCGGCGAATGACACGCCTTTGTTTGACCCTTAACCAATCAGAGTGAGTCATAGTAATATATTAGTGCCCCGCTTGTTTTCACCTGTGTGTGAACAAACATGGCTTCGGCCGCGGCTGAGAGCGACAACGAGGTTTTCGTTCCGAAGAGGAACGCCTCGTCCATTATATGGAACTGGTTTGGTTTTTCACCAGATGACAAAGAGCAGCGAAACGTCATATGCAAAGTTTGCAAGGAGAGCATCAAGGCAACACCACAAACTTGTTTAATCACTTGAAAAGAAAGCATCCCAAACAATACAATGAGAGCCAGCAGGCGGCTAAAGCTAAAAAGCCTGCGGCTACAGCGGCTAGTGCTTCTTCCAGGCAGCAAACGCTAACAGAAACACACACAAAACTCACTCCTTACGACAGAGACAGCAGACGATGGAACAGCGTGACAGATGCAGTGACGTACCACTTGGTTAAAGATTTGTGTCCCGTGCGAACAGTAGGAGCGGGATTTAAGAAAGTGATAAAAACATTGGATCCGCGCTACGAGTTTTCCAGCCGCAAGTATTTTTCGAACACCGCCATTCCACGCATGTACACTGAATGCAAAGTGAGAGTTGCAGAAAATATTCAGAATGCGCTGTTATTTGCTACCACAAGCGATCTCTGGTCCAGCCGCACATCAGAGCCGTATTTGAGCTTAACTATCCACCACATGAGCAACTGGGAGCTACATAGTATTTTGAACAAGTTAATGTTTGCACAATACGTTTACAATTGACATGTTTGCACTTTAAATATGTTTACGATTTTAATTTATGTTAAGTTACTTGAAAAACGAGAAAAACTGATTTTTGTAATTGCTTCTCTCAGGGCTTTTATCATCTCTGGTGTGAGTTTAAAATATAAGTGTGTTAGCACTGTGCTGATTATCCCTAATATGAATAAATGTTTGTTTATTCAATGTTTCTCTTCTTTGATATGCAATTAAAGTTATGCTATTCATGGATAAAAAATCGTGATAAAATCGAATCGTGATAAACTATTGGAAAAATCGTGATATTCTATTTTTGCCATATCGCTCAGCCCTAGCTTAGACCGGAAGTTAGTTTCTGTTTTTCCCGCGCCGGTCACAAACATCAGATTTTCTTACAATTCCAGCTGTGAAAATCCTAAAAACTTTTTCATCTGAGGTTTTAATACTTCTTTATACATGTCGTTCAAAGGAATTTTGCCTCTGGCTGATATCTTTAAAAAGCTGTAAATACGTGGAGTGATGACAGAGGATGTTCTCATTTGTGCAACTGCAAACGGTGCAGAATCACTGAAGAGATCAAAGAGTGGAGAGTGCTTTAACAACATTAAACATTTTTACCTTTGTTTTACTTTTATTCCTGTTCAGAAGGAAAATATTTATTAGTAAATGGTTTTAGATTCATAAATTCAAGGCTTGTTTTATGAATTATCTAAAACAATCCTGACTTGTGTTTATGTTTATGTATTTAGCAGAAACTTTTGTCCAAAGTGACTTACAAGTGATAATCAGCATGTTGCCCTTGAGGCTAACAACAACTTGACATCAATCATGGAGAGGAGGGAACAAAGGAGTGGATGGTAGAGGGGGGGGCACGGGTGCAGGGAGGGTGCTAGTTAAGAAGATGCTCTCTGAAGAGCAGGGTCTTCAGGAGTTTCTTGAAAATTGAAAAGGAAGCCGCAGTTCTGGTAGTGCTTGGAAGGTCATTCCACATTTGTGGAACAATGCAAGAGATGAGTCTGGATTGTCCTGAGCGTGGTGTAGGCACGGAAGAAGAAGACTTACTGGTCTTACAAGATCATTTTTATCTATAAAACCTGCCTAATTATAGTTGCATACTATTACTTTTCCACACCTTTGCTTTCATGCAAATGTTTCGGGCCTAAAAGTTCAACCAGTTTTAAAACCAGACTAGCTCCATAAAAAGTGTTCTCATTTTATTTATCCAATAAAACTAACAGAGATCTTGCCTTGCTGCAAGCTAGTCATTTGTAGACTCAACGTGCTTTTTAAAACCAATCAGATCTCTTTACGGGGAGCCAAGGTGTGTTTCTAGGTGTGACAGGCATCCATTGCATTTTTAATGAGAAGTTAGACAGGTTAGTATGTCGTTTTAGGTTTTGACTTTGACACTTGCTATGTGTTAAAAAAAACATATGTTACTTTTCTAAGTGAAGGTTTTCAACAGCATTTAACTGTAACAAACCTGTGACCCAAGAAAAACCTGATCTAAAAATGAAAGCTTTCAGCAGCTAAGTGTCCCCCTTCAGAGGAATATAGGAAATCAGTGAAGTTTAATCTGCAGGACTTTCTTAAAAAAACAGTTAAAGGGCACATTACAGTAGGGCTGCAACAACGAATCGATAAATTCGATGAAAATCGATTACTAAAAGCGTTGGCAACGAATTGCGTCATCGATTCGTTGTGTCGCACAACTCTTCCAAAAGCGCCCCCCCCCCTCCTTCCTGCCCGCCGTTGCGCGCAGACCAGAGCAAGTCAGATCAGCGCGAGGGAGAGCCGCAGATCAGCGTGAGGGAGAGCCGGCAGACTTGCGCTGCTGCGAACCGGTTCCGCATTGCGCAGCGATCCATGCAGCTGCTTCCAGCGCACGGTCCATTCTCAAAGTGGCGCAACCAAAAAACTATAATTAGCACACGATCGTTCATGTCCGCACATATTCTCTATTTTCTGTCTTATTTGTGCCTGAAGCTCGCTACTGTGGAGCTCATCACCTCTGCTGTGGTGATGTCACCTCACGCAGCATCGAAAACGCGCTCTGCGCTTTTCGGTCAGGAGATCCCTTTGATCTGCTCAAAAGTAACTGATGAGGTGAAAAGGTAAGAATCCAGGCAGCAGTTTTTCTGGAGAATTAAGAGGAGATGCAGGAAGATGAGAGACAGACAGGACAGGAAAATAGTTAAATAAAAACAAGAAAACAAAGTAAAATGTAGGTAGATTTATCTCCACTACACGTTTTTACCAGTAAAAAACAATAAGTTATACACGTCATATTTATACATCTGATACAATTCAGATCACCTTCAAAACTCAGTCACACACCCAGGGCCGTTTCAAGACATTTTGGGGGCCAAGGCAAAATGCCCCCCCCCCCCCCCCCCCCATAACTGGGCTCCCCAGAAGCCTCTGTGTAATTCATGCCCTCTCCAGTAGTGTTAGTTATATGGTGTTTATAAAAGCCCCTCAGACATTACTGACATGTTCTAATATTATCAGATGAAAAACTAAATTATCAGACATGCTGTCTCATCTGCTGCTTTTCTAAACCTGCTAAAAGTAACAAAACCATTTGAAAGCCACTATTTGTGGATTCTCTGAAAGTTTCCATGGAGTGTGTGACAACTTATTTTTTCATTGATCCTATCGTCTGATCTCACAGCTGAAACAAGCATCCTTAATAATCTGTGCACAGGAAGCTTACCGATGCTGTAGTAAAACAAAAGGTATAATAATTTATTATTAATAAAACCTTGTTGCAGCACTAAAGCAGAAAAATTAGATTTTGCATTAAATATGCAAAATATTTACATATGAATTGTTTTAGAGCCCTTTAATTGGCAGAATCTGATATTAACTTAGTTCTTACAAAAAATGGGTCCCAACGTGGTTTGTGTGGCGTTGCCATAGTGTGACGTCATAGGCACAGATCCCCTGTCCTCTTGTTTGGAAATGGAAATATGGTCACCCTGCATTAAACAAACTGTCCACCCGGGCTTTTGCGCTGCACAGAGACGCTTCGCTGCCTACGACTGAATGTCAGTTGAGAGTCAGTCTCATGCAGACTGACCAATGAAGAGAGGGCCTCAAGTTAAGACCCTCTCCTCATTGGTCAGTCCACACGAGGTGGGTCAAAGTTTACTCTGGGCGGGTTACGTGTTGTCAGGCATTCAAGTATTGAGTATATTTACTGCATATCACAGTAAAATATTCTGTATGTTACCACATTATGGTGATCCTTGGGTCGTGATGATGGAGCCCTTGAATATTGTTGCCCAGGGTACAACAAAGTGTTAATCTGGCCCTGGTTCCGCCGTCACATTCCCGCAGAAACTGGTTGATCACACCGGGGCCAGACTACTAGCATGTGGTTTTACAACCACAATGTCCTCAGAAGCAAAAACGCTTTTAAAAGGGAGGGAGGAGTCCTAACTGTTGCTGCAGGCGTGTTGTGTGAGAGTGCAGTTATATACTGGTTAATATATTTTTGGGTTCAGTTGCTTTCATGTGGCCTAATGTGAGTCTATTTGGGATCATTGGAATGATCAGCAGCATTTCTTGATGTGACTTTATGGCAGTTGCCCAGGGCATCATCGCAAGGAGGATGGCATTCATTTACTTTTGTTTTATTTGGTATTTTTTCAGTCAGTTTTGGAAATAGTGATCAATTTTGATTAATTCACAGCCTATGTTTAATTACATTTAAAATAAATGTTAACAGATGAGATCAAACAAAACAGATGAGAATTGCCCTTAAGCTGTTTAACTTGGACCAAGCATTTTAGGTCACAGATAGATGTAGCTTAGGGTCTCTGTCTATACACCTTATAAGACAATTTAGGTGATGGCATGTTGTTTTTCTGCTATTGAACTGTTTTCTAATAATGTTGTGTTAAATAAAGTGAAGGAAGGAGAGAAATAACGTTTCCCTAGCAGTTTTTAAAAATTTCCCCATGTAATCCGATTAATCGATTAATCGTGTCGAGACCCCATCCGATTAATCGATTATCCAAATAATCGTTTGTTGCAGCCCTTACAGTACTGGAACGACATCTATGTTTTAATGTAGAAAAATAAGATGGGTCTGCTTAAATGAATGACGCCATAAACCAAAAAAGAAAAAGTTATTATTGACTCATTATACTTCTGATCTTAATCTAAATCAGCTTAATGATTTATAAAAACATTCCTCTCATTCAGGTGGAGCATAAACTAAAACAAAGACAATAAATTCAAAATATAAACCAAATACACATTAAAATAGCTCAATAGGAGGAAGCCATGATGCTTGGGAATTCATAGGTCAACACAAACCAAAACAATTAAATCAACAGTAATTTGTGACTTACATATGCAGTTCTCTGTAGACTGCATTCTGAAGCTTTTTCTCCCAACCTGAAAGAGAATAAATGACCTTATAAACACACAGCAGCAAAAATAGCTAAAGGTGTGAGATCAAAGCCAGAATTCAGAGATTAAAGCCACAACGTAGAGGGAAAAGATCAGAATTGTATGTATTTTTCCCCTTGTGACCTTGATCCCCTTCTGTAGTTTTAACTACATTTGTGCTGCACCAAACAAATATAACATACTACTACTACTACTACTACTACTAATAATAATAATAATAGTATTAATAATAATAGTAATAATAATAATGATGATGATGATGATAATAATAATAACAACACCTGATATTCTTAGAAAGTTGCGGACATCCTCTTTGAGAGACTCTAGTTTTATGTCAGGTCGATGTAAACAGTCCTAGACAATATAAACAAGTCAGTGTTAGAAGTATTACGGCTAAGGCTAAACTAGCAGATATTTAGCAATGGAGAATCGTTAGCTTAACGCTAGCTGGCTCACTTTGGCTTGTCTCTCTATCTGAGAGTGTAAGTTGCTGCCTCTGAGCCGCTGGACGATCTGAGCGATGTTCAGGGAGAACTCCGAGCCTTCATTCATCCTCCTGTTCCACCCGAACAACGTACGCGAAGCCTTTTACCCCTGCTGTTGTTGATGCCGCTAGCAAACGCTGCAGCAGACACCTGCAGACCATGCAGACGTTACTTAGCAACAGAGGCAGGGGCAGGGCAGCGCGCGCCAGGGAAACAAGCACCTCTAATTAAAGTTCCGCACAATAAAACATGACGTTTTTATTGTATCTTTCGGGCAAATTTCATGATAATAGACATATATTTTATAGTTTGTTCGTTTTTATTCATTTGGGTGTGTTTAGTTTTACCCATAAATTCACTATTAACACATTTAGGAAGCATACAAAACTAAGCAAAATTGTATTTTCCTTTTATTGCGTCATCTTCATTTTGTTGTAAAGAATGTCATTGATCTTTATGGCCCATTTACGTGCAGAATCGGTAAGTTACCCCAGAGGTGTGACCAAGTCACTGGTTTGCAAGTCACAAGGAAGTCACAAGTCTTTCCAGTCAAGTCCAACTCCTTAACTTTGAATTTTCAAGTCATAATCAAGTCATCTGTCCAACTTCAATTTAATGGCCATGATAATAAATTCCACAAATAAATTTAATTTATCTGCTCAACCAAGCAGAAAGTGCCACTGAAATGGATTATAAAGAGTGTGCTGCTGCAATTAGCAGTAAACCAAACCTGCATGGAACGAGCAATGATTTATGTTTATTGTTGTGCCACGTTTGCGCTAAAACATCAATTGCTCAAGTCGTCATCAAGTAAACAGAGGCAAGTCGATTCAAGTCGCAAATCAGTGGTGTTCAAGTCCGAGTCGAGTCATAAGTCTTTATAGATTTTATCAAGTCAAGTCAAGTTATTAAAATGATGACTGGAGCCAAGTCATGTAACTCGAGTCCACACCTCTGGAAGACACAGTGGCAGACCTAGATTATTTTTTTCCTTTGTATGTGTGGTTTCAGAAGGGGGGCAAAGTTTATTCTAAGTTTTAGAGATTTTATGCAGTTGCTTATCTCCTCGCTGTGCATTCATCTTTTTAACACCTTAATTTAACAACTGAAATGCCTCCCCAGCCTTCATAAGTGTCTACAGGAGTGATTCATCACTAAATTAAACAAATCAGCTGTGTTCATAATCTAAACATGCAGGAAAAATGCTGGAAGCAGACTGCAGTGCCAGGTTTGTCAGATCAATTTTTTCCAAGTCCTGCCGGCAACTCTGAAGTTGCAAGTGGAATATTCTGGCCACAGAGAGCGATAGGGGCTGGGTGGCCTTTCATTCGTAACGTCACGTGACACGGGAGATAACGTTATATTTTATACGTATTAGTTTCAACATAAATATATAACGAGCCTTTTACTTGTTAAATTGTGTATATGTTTATTAAATTAAATATATAAGTGAGTTACTACCTGCTAGCCACCGAAGCTGCAACTACTAAGCAACTAACCAACCATAGATAACTTCTTCGGATTTAAAAAAAAATATTTTAAATTAGCTGACTTACCGTTAAACTTGAAATTTGCCCCTGAAATAGCTGCCAGCTTCTGATCTGCCATCCTTTTGAAAATACAACGGTGTGTTCTGGGGAATTTTTGACCAAGGCTAGGCTACAAGACACCTCCCATGTATCCTTGCTCAGCTAGCTAAACGGCTAACAAACGGAGAACACACACCTTGGTAGAACATGAACATTGGAACCATCCACATATATACTGGACAATTCATTTCCATAGGCTCCAATAACACGTTTTTGAGGCTAAATTGGAGGTGGCCACCACCGCCATTTTGACCGTGTCACAGGTTCCGTCAAGCCCAGACAATTCCACAAAAGGGAAGAGAGGTGGAGCTGAGGGTGGGGCTGTAAGGCTGGGATCAACTGACGACACCCGATCGAACTAGCTACAAGCTAACCTGAAGCTAACCCAAAGCTAACGCGGAGGTGGGAGCTAAGCTAACGGAGGTAGCTACCTAGCTACAACCGGAGTTAACTGTGCACAACACCAGAGCTTCTGAGTCAGAGATACGCCGGGCTGACCACTGGGTAAAACCGGGTGGAACACAGAGGTCTCCCAAGTGCTCCACAAGCCGGCAGCCGCACAGCAGACCAGCGCCGCTGCGATCTGAGATGTGAAGAGCTGCCGCTGGGGAGAACCGGGTGGAAAGGTTTCCATCCCATAGCTCCACAAGCCGTCAGCCCGCGCAGCAGACAGAGGCCGCAATCAGACAGAGATGCGCCGAGCTGCGGGGAGGGGAGAACCGGGTGGAAAACATCGGTCTCCCGAGAGCTCCACAAGCCGATAGTCGGAACCCAGCTCCACCAACATGTTATATTTCAACCCATTTTCTAAAGTGCAGCGTTATGTTAAATGCACAGGGTTTTACCCTATTACATTTAAATTTTATGGTTAGACAGTACATGTTAAAATCTAAGCTCAGCTCGGCAGTGACCTAAAATACATAAATATAATTTTACTTACCAAAAAAAATGAAGTGGAGACTCCTTGGACGCTCTATTAGTGCAATTAATGCCACAGCAAGTCATTTTGTCCAACAATTGCACAAATAATATCCAAAAAAGAATACACAAACACAGAGACTCAGAATCCCGGAAAAGTTTCCAGGCCAGACCGAGGCTCTACTGAGGCCTTTCCACGGAGCTAGCTTTGTGGTCACGTGGGTCTGATGCTCATTAATTATACAGAATTTTAGGCTTTTAATACACTTAAACAGAAGAGTGAGAAAAAAATTCACCCCCCTCAGAGTTGTCATGAGTGTAAACTAGATAATTTAAACAAAAACATGTTTTAGTACCAGGCTGTAAACATGTTTATTTCTGCTGTGAAATTGGTATGTTTAACATGGGAGTCAATGAGGATTTGCTCGCTTCTGACACCAGCCCCCAGCGGATGTGGGTGGAACTGCAATTTTTGGTACTTCCGGGTTTTATTCAATTTTGGAGCCGCATTGTGGGGGCTTGATTGGAACACATCTTGGCGGCTCCAGATGACGCATCTCCTAGGCAACCGGGGCAGTGCCAAGACATCAAGAGATTTTATACTTGTGTATGAACACAATGAGAAACACCCAAATTTCCTGCTCCAGTTGGTGAGAGTGGGTGAACTTTAAATCAGTAACTGGAGTTCTGAAAACATTTTATTGACAATCAAAATGATACAAAATGTACAAAATTATATTATCCACAGGTGGGTAAGTTGGGGTGGCTAGAATTTACTTCATTTTTTTAACTGACAGCTGCCTCCCTGTGCCCCCCCTCGGAACCACCAGTGCTTAAATTTAAACTTCGACATAGAACTCGGGATTCGTTGAGTAATTTATTATATCTTCAGTTTACCAGGAACGTTGCTCCCAAGCTAAAATTCGTTCTCCACACATCTGCTCTAACCAAACAGCTTCAGGCTTCTTGTACACTCGATTCTCCGACATTTGTGATACCATTTAGAATACGTCTAAATGTGTTGCTAACATATAAGCAGCTGCTACTTTAATTCTTTCTTGAACTGCTAAACGGAGATTGCACTCAACCTGTTCTGCTAAGATTTAGGATCATGGTGAAACGTATGATAGATGTAAAAAATATTGGAAAAAAGAGAATTAGTGCAAATAAAAGAAAAGGTTGTGTTGTATATAAATAATGTCATGAAATTAAACTCTATAATATGGGAATACGTAGATAAATCTGTCAGTTGTGAGGTGTAGAAGTTAGCTAAAATGTTTATCATCAACAACTAATAAAAAATACAAACAGATGATTGCAAAAAAAAAACAAGCAAATATGTTTGTTTGGGGAAAATTCGAGCAATAAATTGTGAGTGTAACAAACTAGAAAAGAAAATAAACCTATGAATAGGAAAAGTCAATAATAGTAAAAAATATGTTGTCATGTGGAGTAATAATAAATTATTTTTAAGTTGATGAATATAGAAACCGATGTGTAAACACAAAAGGAACTGGTTGGATATAAAACTCACAAATAAAGAAATATTATTTATTATTGTTTTATTGTTGGTTCTATATTTTTACAGTGTAATAATATGAAAGGATGAAAGAAGTTTCTTGAGCTAAGAGACAGCACCATGTTAGCACCAAGTTAAAAAAATAGCCTGAATAAATAACACATTTGAATAAATATTATATTACAATTAATAACTAAAATATAATATTTTAGGAATGCTTCTCTAGAAGGTGCTAGTAGACTAATTAGGACTTTTTTGAAAATAGTTTTTCAACTTTTTTCTTGACAGTTTCAGATTTCAGATTCAGATTTATTGACCAGGTAAAATTACATTTACAAGGAATTTAGCTTTGGTAGATGTTCGCTCTCTAAAACATACAACAACTACAATTGATGAGAACAGAAATACTTAAAAAACACGTTACTTTTGGAATAAGTTGGGTTTTATCTCAAAGTTAGATTATTTCTCATAATTTAGCTTTCTTTTAACGGTTACAGGTGTGGGACGCTGGAAAAAATAATTTTTTTAATGATTACTTTTGATTATAATCCCTCACTCTGTTTTTCATGAAGGCTGAACATGAAAATAGTCTCCTACACCTGTCTCCTGCATTAGCTTCTGATAGAAAACAGACGGTGAAACTCTAGGATTAGAAAATCCTGACAGATCTACGTCACACTGTCACTTAACGCTCATGGACTCACCCATCTTGACTCACGACGGGGAAGGCTGCTGTTGGTTTAGAGTCCAGGAAACGGCAGAGAACGTCTTGACTAGCAGAAGCTAATTGTTAGCGTTAGCAACTCCACCACACAGCAAAACTCCTTCAGACTTGTTTTATTTGTGGAAGCACAATCAGTGGTAGAGTTGTGTTACTGTTAGCCAATCAGAGGTGAGATGTCAGAATATCAGGAAGACTCCAAATCCTGCTGTCTGAAGCTACTTTCTCCTTCTGGACTTTGGTTCCCCAGACTTACTGGAGACCAATGCAAATACATTGATTTAACGAGTAAAACACATTAAACTTTGTTAAGCATATCTTTTCCTTTGTTTATCTTTTTTCCCCCATACAGTTCAACTTTAATCTAAAGCGGTTTTGTCTTCTTTATTGTCCTCAGTGGCACTAAGCCCCCCCCCCCCCCCCCCCCCCCCACACACACACACGCACGCGCGCGCGCGCACACACAAAAATGTCCCAGCCTGTAGAGGCACGCTGAGATCTGACAGGAAACACCTTCTGACAAGGACCGAGTTCATTCACCTTTTATATCTGGAGAGGAGGGGTCGGTGGTCTGGAAGGCGGGCTGAGCGGTGCAGAAGGAGATTCATCCACATGTCAGGACCTGAGAGCGCACGGTCAGAGCGCGCAGACGCTCGGAGAGGTGCTGCTGTCTGCGTCTGTACTTTAAAACTCGCCCCGTCCTCCAGAGAAACCGATCTGTCTTTGAAGAGCATGAACCCGGCGGTCCGAAAGACGGATTTCACCTGAACCCACCGAGGAAGCAGGAAAAGAAGCAGCATGGAGACGTTTACCATCCATGACATGCTCATCAACTCCACCGAACTGAACAAGATTTTGTGCAGTATTGGAGTCAAGAATATTTCAGATTGTGACAGCGAACAGGGCCCGCCGCCCGAACCGAAAGGTAAAGTGAGTTTCATCAGCCTACATCTGGATTTAAAAGAAAGGATTCATATTTTGAACGTGTCACTTTTATTTCAGCTCCCTCCGTGTGAAAGCGCCCCAGCTTGTGCCAAACGGGCGCTTGCTTTGGGCATTTCTCTTGCGTAAGTGCGCATTACGCGCACGGCTCGGGTTCCGCGCGCGCTGGGTCCTGCACGGCCGAGTGAACACGCAGCGCACACCGAATGTAGAGCACTAAAGAGTTCACTTAGTGCGTTTCTGAGGGGTCAGAACCCAACAGGCGGGAGGAAATCAGAGTAATCTTCATAAAAACGCACAGGAGGAGACCATCCGCTGTTGCACACGAGTCACAACCTCATACATATTAGTGATGTGCGCTCAGGGATATAAATACAGCTCAGGCTGGGATGTGCTCTGCGTCAGAGGACGAGATGTGAGTCAAAATAGCTCACAGGTCTAATTAGAGGAATACCATGATGACCGTGTGTGTGTGTGTGTGTGTGTGTGTGTGTGTGTGTGTGTGTGTGTGTGTGTGTGTGTGTGTGTGTGTGTGTGTGTGTGTGTGTGTGTGTGTGTGTGTGTGTCCTCCTGTCAGACATCAACCAGACCGTCCGGATCATCCTCTACAGCCTCATCTTCCTCCTGAGCGTCCTGGGTAACAGCCTCATCATCGCCGTCCTGGTGAGGAACAAGCGCATGAGGACCGTCACCAACCTGTTCCTGTTGTCCCTGGCCGTCAGCGACCTCATGGTCTCCCTGGTGTGCATCCCCTTCACCCTCATCCCCAACCTCATGAAGGACTTCATCTTTGGCATCAGCATATGCAAGCTGGTCATGTACTTCATGGGTAAGTTGGGTGATTGGTGCTCCAAAGATGTGATGCCAGAAATAAGAGTTTGCCCAAATCCTCGCCTAAAGCTGAGCACAACCTGACCCATCTCCCCGTTTCTATGGAGATTTATCATTTTTTGTCATGGTAATCACGTTACACGTCAGACGGCGGATAATTGGAGGCATCTGAGGCACAAGGTTCATTTCCCTCTGTGTTCAGATGCTCCTGGAGGCCTAATGAGCTCCAGCTCAAATCAGTCCTGGTCAAGAAGGGAGCTTTTTGTGGAAGCGGCACAAAATTCAATTTTTGCAGCCACTAAGTTGCAGGGTTTCTATTCTGGGTTGTTCGTTTCTTGACCCGCGAAAGTCACATTAAGGAAAATAAGTGTCCGTGTTCCCCAAAGGCTAAAAATAAAGCAAGTTAAAGTCATCTAACATGCATGAGAAAACCACCACTTTCTAGTAGCCATTTTTTATCTGTCAGATAAGCTCTTAGAACAACCTCAGTTCAGAGAAGTTTGGAGATTTGTGACATGCTAACAGCTAGTTACAATCCAGTCATTAACAAAGCATCATAAAAGATTTCAGTTGTTCACAGAGGTTAACACACTTCACCAATATTTCACATCTCCAGGTTGCTCAAGCAAATTAAATGTACAATTACAACCACTTAGTGCTAAAGTAGTTAGCTCCATAGCTAATATCTACTGCAGAAAATCACATGTGGCAAATAACTTTAGCTTAAAATGCCATAAAAGAGTTTGAGATTAGTTATTTTTTAACAGCGGAAATGATTTCTGTCTCCTTCACAAACTAGCCATTAGCTTATCAATCCAATCAAAACTAATCTCAGTTGCTCTAAACTGAAGTTGCTCAACAAGTTCTCTGCAGCAGGCAAGACTGTTCTTGATGCTTCCATGGAAACACGCTTGAATCAAGTGACCTGCATGGAATTCTAGTTTGGAATTAGCTGTACGGACGCCTCCATCTGCTTCATCCAGTAACAATTCACAAGAGTTGAAGCAAAGAATTGTTCATCCATCCATTTTCAGCTGCTTATCTGGAGTCGGGTCGCGGGGGCAGTAGCCTAAGCAGAGAGGCCCAGACTTCCCTCTCCCCAGCCACTTGGGCCAGCTCCTCCAGGGGAATCCCAAGGCGTTCCCTGGCCAGGTGAGACATAGTCCCTCCAACGTGTCCTGGGTCTACCTTTAGGTCTCCTCCCTGTTGAACGTGCCCGGAAAACGTCACCAGGGAGGCGTCCGCAGGAGGCATCCTGACCAGATGCCCGAGCCACCTCAACTGGCTCCTCTCGATGTGGAGGAGCAGCACATCTACTCCGAGCCCCTCCCGGATGACTGAGCTGCTCACACTCTAAGGGACAGCCCAGCCACCCTGCAGAGAAAACTCATTTCGATCACGAGCTTTGGGTAGTGACCGAAATGAGTTTTCTCCACAGGGTGTCTGGGCTCTGTAGGAACGTAGATCGACCGGTAAATCGAGAGCTTCACCTTCTGACTCAGCTCTCTCTTCACCACGACAGACCGGTACAACGCCCGCATCACTGCAGATGCAGCACCAATCCACCTATCGACCTCACGCTCCATCTTACCCTCACTCGTGAACAAGACCCCGAGATACTTAAACTCCTCCACTTGGGACAGGACCTCATCCCTGACCCGGAGAAGGCTTTCTACCCTTTTCCGACTCAAGTCTAGTTTTAGAATCATTTACATCTAATTCAGTTTCATGGTTTTCTTCAAATTATTGTCAATTATAAGTGCAAATATGTTTATGCTTATGTTTATTTATTTGGCAGACGCTTTTATCCAAAGCGACTTACAATTTATAACCTGGTAGTAGTAGTGTTAGCTATAACCCAAAATTAATCTATTTTGACCACGGTCCTGCCCACACTACCCGTTAGCTTGTCAGTCCAGTCACAGTTCAAACTGAGGTTGTTCCCAATCTGTCTTTAAAAGAACATATTTAGAGGAGGCATATCTGAAAATAACTGGGTGCACAACAAACAAGAAAAACAAAACAGACCCAGTCTGAGTGCCGTTCGTGAGTCAACAGGGACACTTCAAATCTAATCAGTGTTCAAGCTGGGAAAGACAAACACGCCAGATGTAAAAATTATTCACCACCATTAGCTATCCTACATTATATTGCAGGGTTAGTATGAGAAGAAACTCTCAGAGGTACATATCTGCCAGTTTTAGACACTAGACCAGGCAGAGGACTTAAACCTTCATGAAACATTCTTCTCCAGACTTTGTCTTCTCAGGTAAACCGTCCATACCCGTGACACGTCTAGCGCTTGATGCATTTGAACTCTGTGTGTTAGTCTGTAGCATAAAGGGAATAAACACATGCTTATCGTCTCTAAGCCTAAACAAACAGGAGCAGAGGAACAGGGTAAAAAATCCAATGAAACAAAAAGTGTTGGAGGTGTTAAAATATCAGAGCTGGTTGGACTTTTGCTCCATACGCTTCTTTTTACTGCTCGTTTGAAAATTATAACCTTATTATATCATAACCTTTATACAAGTGGGCGTATTTGACCATGTATAAACACTTTAAGTCTTGATTAAACCAAAACATTTTTTTAAAATAAGAAAAAAATTTAAGTTACATCTTTTCAGGTGTGTCAGTGAGTTACTAATGACAGTATCACTGTTTGTATATTATAGGGTGACCATACGTCCTCTCTCTGTCCGTGTGTGTGTGTGTGTGTCCGGTTTTTCATCCAGGAGCAGGGATCGAGTTATGGGGGCTAGATATCTTTCAGGGAAAGATCCAGTTTCTGCCGGTATCACAATATTTATGGACTCTCAGCGTAGCGGGGATGCTGTTGAGCGCGCTGATCGTTGGTGCGCCCGCTGCGTCCGGGGCACGATGCTTTCTCAAGGTGGTGCAACAAAACATTATTATTAACACATGATCGTTCATATCTGTTTAAATCTTCTGGTACTCTGTCTTTTAATTGTTCCTTACGCGCGCCGCTCATCGTGTGCTGCGGTGATTTCACCTCACTGACGCAGCATCGAAACGTGCACTCCGCTTTGCGATCAGGAGATCCCTTTGATCTGTTCAAAAGTAAAGGTTGGCTTATGCTTGACGCGTCCGCAAGGTTCGCACGGCTCTGCGCGGCAAACTTGCGTCATTTTAACAACCACGCCCCTCCACCACACCTCCGCACGGCCTAAACTTTCCGCACCGCGCACCTAGGAAATTTTCTAACCACGCGGACGGTCGAACGCGGAAAAACATGGTGGACCGGCAAGAACTAGTACGGCAGAGGTTCGTAATTACAGACATTTGTATGATTCAGCTCTCAGAGATCGCCGTGATCAACATGTTGTTAATAATTCTTGGAGAGAAATAGCTCGCACTGTCGGAAAAGACGAGGACGATGTTAAAAAATGCTGGAATGCCATGTTGTAAACAACAGTAATTTCTACTTCTACTATGGTGTAGTGTTGGATGCATGCCGTAGAGCTCCATGCTGCCCCCTACAGTTTGGGAGAATATTGGCTCACCGCAAAGACAAGCCGCATGAACCATAAAGCTTGGTTTATGCTTGACGCATTTACTTTCCGCTTGGTGATGAGGCTCGCGGACGGAACGCGCTTTACAACTTGCAGCGTTTATGGTTCATAGACATCATTGACATGATCTAATATTGTCCGATGAAAAACACAACTGTCGGACACGCCGTCTCATCTGCTTCTTTTCTAAACTCACACAAATCTGTCAGCAACAAAACCGTCTGAAAGCCTCTATTTGTGGATTCTCTGACAGTTTCCATGGAGTCCGTGACAAACCTTTTTATTTTCATTGACCCTATCGTCTGACCTCACAGCTGAAACAAGCATCCTTAATAATCTGTGCACAGGAAGCGTACCGATGCTGTAGTAAAACAAAAGGTATAATAATTTATTATTAATAAAACCTTATTGCAACACTAAAGCAGCAGAAAAATGAGATTTTGCAATAAATATGCAAAAATATTTACATATTAATTGTTTTAGAGCCCTTTTATTGGCAAAATCTGATATTAATTTTCGCTCTTTACCTGGGAAAAAAATGAGTCCCAGCGTGGTTTGTGTGGCGTTGCCCTAGTGTGACATCATCGGTAGGCACAGATCTCCTGTCCTCTTTTTTGGAAATGGAAATATGGTCACCCTAGGATATTATTATCATAGTGTCACAATAAAGTTTTGCTCCTATTGCCCCAAATGAATGAATTATCTAAAAATATATAATTCATTGCTAGAGCTGAAGGGTTAATAATAACTTTTCTGCCTCTTTAGGTGAGGATGATTTGTTACCATGGTGACCCTAATAAGCCACCCTCAGTAGTTTTAACATTTTTTATATGGATTTCACTTTATAGTTTCCGAATAAAAGTATTTTGCTTTGTTATTATTGTTTATTTAACGTTTCCATTTGATCCAATCATTCCACATCTTCCATAAAAATAGCTCCTAATGAGATGAGCCAGAGCATTCAGGGACGTGGAGCTTTCCCTAATTCGTCTGTGATTCAGATAAATACTTCTGGTTATCCCAAACAGAACCATCAGCTCTGACCAATAACAAGGTGCAGTCATTACAAATGATGTGTTGAAAATAATATTTCATTTTCATCCAATTACAACCCCAGAAGGCCATCCTCACTTCCTGTTTTCCTATTCAGCTGCACACGGAGATTAGTGCAATGTCTTTTGGGGATTACTTGGTCATTTATCCACGTTTCTGTGCTGCTTGGTCATTCTTCTTGTATTCTGCACCGTAAAGATATAAACGTATTTATATGACTTAGGGCTGCAACAACGAATCGATAAATTCGATGAAAATCGATTACTAAAAGCGTTGGCAACGAATTGCGTCATCGATTCGTTGTGTCGCACAACTCTTCCAAAAGCGCCCCCCCTTCCCGCCCGCCGTTGCGCGCAGACCAGAGCAAGTCAGATCAGCGCGAGGGAGAGCCGCAGATCAGCGCGAGGGAGAGCCGCAGATCAGCGCGAGGGAGAGCCGCAGATCAGCGCGAGGGAGAGCCGCAGATCAGCGCGAGGGAGAGCCGCAGATCAGCGTGAGGGAGAGCCGGCAGATCAGCGCGAGGGAGAGCCGGCAGATCAGCGCGAGGGAGAGCCGCAGATCAGCGCGAGGGAGAGCCGCAGATCAGCGTGAGGGAGAGCCGGTACAGGCAGATCAGCGCAGATCAGCGCGAGGGAGAGCCGGCAGACTTGAGCTGCTGCGAACCGGTTCCGCATTGTTGCACAGCGATCCAGGCAGCTGCTTCCAGCGCACGGTCCATTCTCAAAGTGGCGCAACCCAAAAACTATAATTAGCACACGATCGTTCATGTCCGCACATGTTCTCTATTTTCTGTCTTATTTGTGCCTGAAGCGCGCTACTGCGGAGCTCATCACCTGTGCTGTGGTGATGTCACCTCACGCAGCATCGAAAACGCGCTCTGCGCTTTTCGGTCAGGAGATCCCTTTGATCTGCTCAAAAGTAACTGATGAGGTGAAAAGGTAAGAATCCAGGCAACAGGTTTTCTGGAGAATTAAGAGGAGATGCAGGAAGATGAGAGACAGACAGGACAGGAAAATAGTTCAATAAAAACAAGAAAACAAAACAAAGTGTTGAAAAGTAAAATGTAGGTAGATTTATCTCCACTACACGTTTTTACCAGTAAAAAACAATAAGTTATACACATGTCATATTTATACATCTGATACAATTCAGATCACCTTCAAAACTCAGTCACACACCCAGGGCCGTTTCAAGACATTTTGGGGGCCAAGGCAAAATGCCCCCCCCCCCCCCCCCAATAACTGGGCTCCCCAGAAGCCTCTGTGTAATTCATACCCTCTCCAGTAGTGTTAGTTATACGGTGTTTATAAAAGCCCCTCAGACATTACTGACATGTTCTAATATTATCAGATGAAAAACTAAATTATCAGACATGCTGTCTCATCTGCTTATTTTATAAACTTGCAAAAAGTAACAAAACCATTTGAAAGCCACTATTTGTGGATTCTCTGAAAGTTTCCATGGAGTGTGTGACAACTTATTTTTTCATTGATCCTATCGTCTAATCTCACAGCTGAAACAAGCATCCTTAATAATCTGTGCACAGGAAGCTTACCGATGCTGTAGTAAAACAAAAGGTATAATAATTTATTATTAATAAAACCTTGTTGCAGCACTAAAGCAGAAAAATTAGATTTTGCATTAAATATGCAAAATATTTATATATGAATTGTTTTAGAGCCCTTTAATTGGCAGAATCTGATATTAATTTAGTTCTTACAAAAAATGGGTCCCAACATGGTTTGTGTGGCGTTGCCATAGTGTGACGTCATAGGCACAGATCCCCTGTCCTCTTGTTTGGAAATGGAAATATGATCACCCTACATTAAACAAACTGTCCACCCGGGCTTTTGCACTGCACAGAGACGCTTCGCTGCCTATGACTGAACGTCAGTTGAGAGTCAGTCTCATGCAGACTGACCAATGAAGAGAGGGCCTCAAGTTAAGACCCTCTCCTCATTGGTCAGTCCACACGAGGTGGGTCAAAGGTTACTCTGGGCGGGTTACGTGTTGTCAGGCATTCAAGTATTGAGTATATTTACTGCATATTACAGTAAAATATTCTGTATGTGACCACATTATGGTGATCCTTGGGTCGTGATGATGGAGCCCTTGAATATTGTTGCCCAGGGTACAACAAAGTGTTAATCTGGCCCAGTTTCCGCCGTCACATTCCCGCAGAAACTGGTTGATCACACCGGGGCCAGACTACTAGCTTGTGGTTTTACAACCACAATGTCCTCAGAAGCAAAAACGCTTTTAAAAGGGAGGGAGGAGTCCTAACTGTTGCTGCAGGCGTGTTGTGTGAGAGTGCAGTTATATACTGGTTAATATATTTTTGGGTTCAGTTGCTTTCATGTGGCCTAATGTGAGTCTATTTGGGATCATTGGAATGATCAGCAGCATTTCTTGATGTGACTTTATGGCAGTTGCCCAGGGCATCATCGCAAGGAGGATGGCATTCATTTACTTTTGTTTTATTTGGTATTTTTTCAGTCATTTTTGGAAATAGTGATCAATTTTGATAAATTCACAGCCTATGTTTAATTACATTTAAAATAAATGTCAACAGATGAGATCAAACAAAACAGATGAGAATTGCCCTTAAGCTGTTTAACTTGGACCAAGCATTTTAGGTCACAGATAGATGTAGCTTAGGGTCTCTGTCTATACACCTTATAAGACAATTTAGGTGATGGCATGTTGTTTTTCTGCTATTGAACTGTTTTCTAATAATGTTGTGTTAAATAAAGTGAAGGAAGGAGAGAAATAACGTTTCCCTAGCAGTTTTTAAAAATTTCCCCATGTAATCCGATTAATCGATTAATCGTGTCGAGACCCCATCCGATTAATCGATTATCCAAATAATCGTTTGTTGCAGCCCTAATATGACTTGTTATTGCTAAGGAAGGTGCTCACAGTGATCAGACAGTACAGGATGGGCTCTGTTGCTGCTCAGCACTTAAATCTGGTAAAACATTAATGTGCTTTGTCATCAAAAACATTACAGCAGACATGTTGAGAGGATGTCTGGGAGCTACCGAAGATTAACGATCAATAAAATAAGATTAATAACACAATTTTGTCTTTAGCTATAAAAGAGGAGGCAGCAGGGGCGGACTTAGCAGTTTTGGGGCCCAAGGCAAACAAAGGCATGGGGCCCTCTGCAGCTGTTGTCCCGAATCTTTTTTTTTATCCTTATTTAGAAAACAGCACGAACAGTGACTTCTTGTTTTTCATTTGCAGCAGTAACATTAACCTGACTTTCATAATTATTATTTCATATTAATTATTGCTGTAAAGAAATCCGTAACATTTGGCATTGTTGCTACAAACCTTTTTCATCTTCCTGCTGCTTGTAATCTTCAGAACTCTTTGGACAGCTTCACTTCATTATTTCCACATTTATTTAACTCCTTATTTTTTCAGGTGTTTTAAAAACTTGGACATTAACACTATTTTTAACCCCAACCCTAATAATTTTCTGGAAGTTAAAGGCCAAGGTGAATATTACCACAATGTTTAATAATGTGGGCGACGTTAAGTGCTCGCCCCGTAATCGGAAGGTTGCAGGTTCGAGCCCCACTCAGTCTGTCGCTGTGTCCTTGGGCAAGACACTTAACCCACGTTGCCCGCTGGTGGTGGTCGGAGGGACCGGTGGCGCCAATGCTCGGCAGCCTCGCCTCTGTCAGCGCGCCCCAGGGCAGTTGTGGCTACATTGTAGCTCATCCCCACCAGTGTATGAATGTGTGTGTGAATGGGTGAATGACTGATTGTGTTGTAAAGCGCCTTGGGGGGTTCCAGGACTCTAGAAAGTGCTATATAAAATACAGGCCATTTACCATATTAAGCTACAAAACTAGATAAGGTTAGCTTAGCACAACCAAGTGTGAAATGTGTCCTTTAAATCCATCTTCTTGTGTGTATGCTAAGCTAATTAGCTTTTGGAAATAGCTTCAGGCAAATGCACTCAGAAATTAAATGTTGGTAACACTTTAAAATATGGGTCCCTTTGTTAACATTACTTAGTGCATTATTAAGCATTAATAATCTGTTAAATAAAGTATTAACAACTGCTTAACCATATAATGTAATGCATTACTAAGCAGAACCCCCCAGCCCTTTGTTCAAACCTGAAGGACACTTAATAGTTACAAATAACAGTAATGTTAATAAGGGGACCCTTTGTTGAATAATGCTTAAGAATGCACTAAGTAACGGTAATAACAGACCCTTTGTTTATTAATGTTTAATAATGCACTATGTAACGTAATAAACGGACCCTTTGTTTATTAATGCTTAATAATGCACTGAGTAATGTCAATAAAGGGACTTGTAATGTAAAGTGTTATCAAAGGTTTTGTATCTTTACTCTAGCCTGGCAAGCCAGACTAAATAAATGTATTATTTAGTCTGGCAACGCTCCATTGACGGCTCTCGGTTGTGGGGGGCGGGTTCTACCGCTGTCTTTCAAATGATCTCCGCATGCTGCTGGACAATGAATGTGACATACTCACTGCAACAGCTATCGGTAAATGAGGCGGTGCGCAGTTGAAGAAGGAGAAAACACATCATTTTTTCTAAAAAAACCCCCCACTTAAATACATCTATCTGCTCCTGATTCTAATGAAGCCCAAGTTCTAATAGTCCAAAATTGATGTAAAAGCTGTTTCAAATGAGCTGTCGCCATCTTGTTTCACTCTGTTGCATCTTCCCACCCACCAGGCATATAGAGTGCCCTGTTTGGCCCACAAAGCGGATAAAGCTCTGTGATTTGTTCACTAAGCAGATAGAGCACTATGATTGGCCCACCATTATGGCCCAATCACAGCTCTTTGTGTGTTTGAAACCCCTCTAGAGAGCTGTGATTGGCCAGCCAGAATGCTGTTAGGGGCTGCAGAGGTTCCAGTGGAGCGTTCCTAGACCAAGCTTTGCAAAGCAAGAATTTGGTCTAGTTCACTAGGCTATCTTTACCCTATAAACCCCCAGGTCACTAAGGATCAAGACATATTTACAAACAACTCCTTAATTTTCAAAAAATACAGTTTTATATGTTGTATGAATACAGTCTGAATGCCAATTGTCCAAATTAGTGGAAAATAATCAGTAAGATGCTACCAAATGTCATTAATGAGGTAAGAGGTATATTCTACATCGGTGGCGCTAACTGCTAACACAGGTAGGAACAGTAATACCAAAAACTAATTGGACTTAGTTGGGGCAACTAACTCTTTATTATGTTTAGAGATCAAACCTCATGTTCTCACAAGTTAAGGTGAAGTTGTTCTTGTCCTTGTAGGTGTCTCAGTGAGTGTTTCCACCTTCAACCTGGTGGCCATCTCTCTGGAGCGCTACAGCGCCATATGCAACCCATTGACTTCCAGGGCATGGCAGACAAAATCCCACGCTGCTAAGGTCATCACTGCCACATGGGTGGCATCCTTAATCCTGATGCTGCCGTACCCCATCTCCAGCACCCTGAAGTCCTTCACCCGCCTCGACAACAGCACAGGACACATGTGCCGCCTGATGTGGCCCAACAGTGTCATCCAACAGTCCTGGTGAGCAGACGAGTTGACTGAGGACAGCTGTAGCTCAGATAGATTGAGACATGTCAGCAGCAGGAACAGGTAGACTCAGGTGGTCATGTTATTGATTTTCTCACCCCACTGGAGCAGGTTTGAGACAGTCACCGGGAAACGCTAGCAACACTCAGATGTGATCCTTTAAAAACACACGGCTTAAAAGATGGTGGATCTGGTTTTTTTTTTTTGAGTGACTTTAAAACAGATTAGCTTGTAGTTACTCACAAAGCAGTTCGTCTGGTATTCATTTCCATCCACCTTCAAAATGTCTCCATTAGGTATGTGTCTCTGCTGCTGCTCCTCTTCCTGATCCCAGGCATCGTCATGATGATGGCCTATGGGCTCATCTCGTTGGAGCTCTATCGAGGAATCAAGTTTGAGCTGTCCAGCAGGAAATCTAGCCGAGGTATGCAAATTATACTTAAACTTTAACCATAGCAGGTCATAGTACACTTTACTTGGTAAAGATGATTTTTCTGGCAAACTTTAAACTTTACTACTATATACATATGTATATATATATATATATATATATATATATATATATATATATATATATATATATATACATATGTATATATATATATATATATATACATATGTATATATATATATATATATATATATATATATATATATATATATATATATATATATACCCTAGTTTCTAATCTAGTAATGTAGTGAATTACAGAATTAGTTTAGGGAAAACCTCAAAGTTTAGTTATTAATACAATTTAAACAGATTTATTACCTAAACAGTTCCACATGCTAATAAAAACGGAGGTGGGAGGTTGTTCGTTTAGCACAGTTGGTCAGTAAGACAGACTAATGGGCCTTCCCCACTGGCATCGGCTCCACACTGCCCGGATAGCCCCAGCCGGTCCCAGCCTGGCCCGGTTGATTCCACACATCCTTGCTTATGCAAAGAAAGCAGTCAGAGATGCCGTAAGCCCACGTGGGTTGATTCTACCCACTAATCGGAGGCGTGAATTTGAGACGGCCTATCAGTCAGCAGTGGGTGTGTTGGTCCTTGTCAGCCTGAAGCAGACCACCTCGGGAAGAGGGTTGAAAAACGTCCGGTTGCACCCTGAAAAAGGACAGGCTATGCTGATGTGGAAAGTCCCTATGCTATCCAGACCACGCAGAACCGAGGCTAGTGGGAAAGGCCTATAAAATGGCAAGAACAACAAGAAAGTCAAGTGGATTTTGCCTTTTGTAGCCCTCTAATAGATGTGGCTTCAATGTTGAGTTCAGTCTGCTACATTTACATGTCGGAATGAATCCAGAAATTTAAGGCTAATCAACCCCTAGATGTCTAGAACACTGTAAAATCACAGATACAGGTGCTGGCCAGTAAATTAGAATATCATCAAAAGGTTGAAAATATTTCAGTAATTCCATTCAAAACGTGAAACTTGTACATTATATTCATGCAATGCACACAGACCAATGTATTTCCGATGTTTATTACGTTTAATTTTGATATTTATAGGTGACAACCAATGAAAACATCAAATCTGGTATCTCAGAAAATTAGAATATTCTAAAGGCCAATGAAAAAATGTTTGTTTCTCTAATGTTGGCCAACTGAAAAGAATGAACATGAAAAGAATGTGCATGTATAGCACTCAATACTTAGTCGAGGCTCCTTTTGCCTCAATAACTGCAGTAATGCGGCGTGGCATGGACTCGATCAGTCTGTGGCACTGCTCAGGTGTTATGAGAGCCCAGGTTGCTCTGATAGTCGTCTTCAGCTCCTCTGCATTGTTGGGTCTAGCGTATTGCATCCTCCGCTTCACAATACCCCATAGATTTTCTATGGGGTTAAGGTCAGGCGAGTTTGCTGGCCAATCAAGGACAGGGATACCATGGTCCTTGAACCAGGTGCTGGTGGTTTTGGCACTGTGTGCAGGTGCCAAGTCCTGTTGAAAGGTGAAGTCTGCATCCCCATAAAGTCGGTCAGCAGCAGGAAGCATGAAGTGCTCTAAAACTTCCTGGTAGACGGCTGCATTGACCCTGGACCTCAGGAAACAGAGTGGGCCAACACCGGCAGATGACATGGCACCCCACACCATCACTGACGGTGGAAACTTTACACTGGACCTCATGCAACGTGGATTCTGTGCTTCTCCGCTCTTCCTCCAGACTCTGGGTCCTTGATTTCCAAAGGAAATGCAGAACTTGCTTTCATCAGAAAACATAACTTTGGACCACTCAGCATCAGTCCAGTCCTTTTTGTCCTTGGCCCAGGCGAGACGCTTCTTGCGCTGTTTCTTGTTCAAGAGTGGCTTGACACACGGAATGCGACACCTGAATCCCATGTCTTTCATGAGTCTCCTCGTGGTGGTTCTTGAAGCGCTGACTCCAGCTGCAGTCCACTCTTTGTGGATCTCCCCCACATTTTTGAATGGGTTTGTCGTCACAATTCTCTGCAGGGTGCGGTTATCCCTAGAGCTTGTACACTTTTTTCTACCACATTTTTTCCGTCCCTTCGCCTGTCTGTTAATGTGCTTGGACACAGAGCTCTGCGAACAGCCAGCTTCTTTAGCAATCACCTTTTGTGTCTTGCCCTCCTTGTGCAAGGTGTCAATGATTGTCTTTTGGACAGCTGTTAAGTCAGAAGTCTTCCCCATGATTGTGGTGCCTTCAAAACAAGACTGAGGGACCTTTTAAAGGCCTTTGCAGGTGTTTTGAGTAAATCAGCTGATTAGAGTGGCAGCAGGTGTCTTCTATATTCAGCCTTTTCAGAATATTCTAATTTTTTGAGATACCAAATTTGGAGTTTTCATTAGTTGTCACTTATGAATATCACATTTAAATGTAATGAACATTGGAAATACATTGGTCTGTGTGCATTGCATGAATATAATGTACAAGTTTCACGTTTTGAATGGAATTACTGAAATATTTTCAACCTTTTGATGATATTCTAATTTACTGGCCAGCACCTGTATACCAGTCTTGGTCCTACTGTGTGTGGTGTGAGGCCACAAAGGACAGACAACACACCATAGACGAACATTTCCAGGTCAGATGGAAATCCTTGGAAAACCTCTTAAGACCAAATGCAACTGCAGAGTAAACAAATTTGGCGAATAAGGAGAATTTAAATCTTTCACTTCAGGCAGTGCATTTCTGTCACCTTGCTTTCTGGTTTCCATCACGTCACATTCAAAAGGTGTTCAAGACAATCTAACATGTTGAATGTCTCAGATTTGTGATTGGAGCAGTCCCGACATCCTTCCAAACAGACCAGAGCACTCCTAGCACACCTCACACTGCAGGAATATCTGATAAGATTAACTTTGGAGCCATTTCGGCAACGGAGGGTCTCCTTAAGAGAAGGACTAGATGAAACTCATAAATATCTCACCATGTGAGCCCAAAATGTTCAAGAGACCTTTCGACACACAAAAAATGTCCTTTGGGTACTTTTAGGAAAATACTCATCCACTGAAGTCTCTTTTTAAAACCTTCTTCTGTTACAGAAAGACAGCCGAGCACCGGCAGCATCAAGCCAGGCGACAGCGATGGCTGCTACTTACAGCCATCTAAAAGGAAGAGCGTAACCTTGGGTGCAGGTATCAGTCCCAACTCCACCAGCACATTCTTGGTGGGTCGTGTGTGCAGCAACAGCTCTACATCCAACCTAATGGCCAAGAAGCGCGTCATCCGCATGCTCTTGGTCATCGTCTTCCTCTTCTTCCTGTGCTGGACTCCAGTCTACGTGGTCAATGCATGGCAGGCCTTCGACCCACGCTCGGCCTACCGCTTGACGGGTGCCCCCATCTCCTTCATCCACCTGTTGTCCTACATCTCAGCCTGCGTCAACCCCATCATTTACTGCTTCATGAACAAGCGCTTCCGTCAGGGCATGCTGGCCACCTTCACCTGCTGCCAGTGCACCAAGAGGGGCCTCGGTAGGAGCAGCAGCTCGGGGAGGTCAACTGGGACCAGGATGACTAGAGGAGACAAGGCCCAATCAAAAACAGGGACAAAGAGTCCTGAGCATAATGGCCATACTCCTCCAAGTGGTGCCAGCACACAATTTACATACACCGGCATCCGTGGATCAGCCTGGAGCGAGCGGACGTAACCTGGACCTGTAGGCGTAGCGTTTGGATACATCAGGAGAACATTTTGTAAAGCCCCCACGGTGCTTAAAGGACATGTTTACTTCCAGTTCTGGTTTTTATCTCTATAACATAACAGGGGTAGATAAGGGAAGGACTTCTGAACATTCAGTGCTCTCACAGCAGAGCTGGCCCAGGCCAGGCCCCACCCATGGTCCTAGCGGGCCACCATCCAGCAAGTTTTATTTGTTCCTCAGCTCCAAAACACCTGAATCAATGATTGAGTTAAGCCTGATTCATGCTTCTCCGTCAGCTCCAACAGAGAGAGACACGCACGCATGGATGGAGACATTTTGCTCTCATACTTCTCAGTCTCCTGGAGAGTGTTGCAAAGCAATTCCCCGGCAGGACAACAGAGGGCGTAACGCTGTTCTGTGGTAACCTGTCATGTATCGGTCCAAGATAGTGTTTTTATATTGTGTTTTTTTGTAAATAAGAGACTTTTTAACACGGACAAATTTGTCTCTCATCCTCCTCCACCTCTCCATGCGCTCGCCACCTCTAAACCCTCGTTTCCTGTCATTTCCGTCCACAAATAAAACGCTTGCCGCGCATCTTTTCACTCCTCCAGTCACGGGGGAATGAAACGTTCATGTTTTTAGTTTTTTCACGAGGTATTCTTCAAGCTTCTCCGTGTCTGCCACTAGTTATTCTCGGCTCTCTTTTAGTTTTAGAGGGCGCAATAGCAGCGACGACAGCGGTGCCCTGACCAATCACACGCTTGCGTTCTCCGTCTCGACGGACGGATGTTTAGAAAAGAGAGCTGGACACCGTACGTCCTTGCGGGGCTCTCCAGCAGGCCCGCAAGGACGGATAATGGCGTTGCGTGTCTCCGCACTGACGCAGACGCATGAATCTGGCTTTACCTGTTCAGCAGGTCCTCAAGCACTACAGAAGCTCATTAATCACACTCTTATTAAAATAAAGCACAGTAGGCAGGGACACTACTAAAACATGCTGGATAGAGGCCCTCGAGGACCAGGGCTGGAAACCCATGCTCTATAGGTTACCCTATACCAGGAGCACTCAATTCCGGGCCTGGAGGGCCGGTGTCCATCATGTTTTAGCGGTTTCTCTCCTCCAGCACACTAGATTCAGTGGTTGAATCACCTGTGCAGCAGCTCACCAGGCTCTGCAGAAGCCTGGTAATCACCTCCTGACTGAACTCAGGAGTGTTGGAGCAGGGTAAAAACTAAAATGTGCTGGATACCGGCCCTCGAGGCCTGGAATTGAATAGCCCGGCCCTATTCCATTAGAAGATACACCAGCGGTGACATTTTAAATGATTAATACATCAAGACAAATCCTCTTTGTTACAAATTAAGGAGTTCCAGACCGAGCTTGGTGATGGGCCCTGTTGAATGACCTGACATTCGGTCTATGGGCCAACTTGGCAAAGACTTTAAAAACATTCCAAATACTTAACGACACCTACTGGCCAAAAATGGGAGTCTTATTTACATCATCACACCAGGCGCTTCTAATTTTGGTAAACTCCCACGTCTTTCCTAGCAAACATCTGCCTCTCTGATAATCTCCCCGCGGTAGCTTCAGATCTCCAACCTCGTGTCCTTGGCCCCCTGCGCCAACGCAACATCAGAACATTTGGTGGGAATTGTCGCACCTGCCGCTCCTCGTCAAACGGTGGACTCCTGCCATCACCTAGGTGATACTTACCATTAAATTTGAAAGCATCAATGTAGCAACGTACTCCTGTTTTCTTTGTGTTTCCGTGCAATGTTAATGTCAGTGATGCGCTGTATTTTTAGCCAGTTTTGGTGTAAAATCTCAATGTTCTTAGTGGTATTGTGTACTTTAAGGGACATGAGTGAATGTTAAGTCGAGCCAAGCTCTGGGAAACCCATTTACTCACAACCAGACTCAATGCCGACCCAGGGCAGACACTCTATGCTTTTAACGGGTCTCTTAAAAAAAGGACTGAAAGGACAGAGGGGCTCTACACAGGGACGTCTCACCCTGCAGAAACATGCTTTATGTAAGAAAGGGAAGTCCGGGTCACTCGTTTGAACCTTTTTCAACAACCAAATAAAAAAAAGTGCAAAAATGCTTCTGCTTGGATTAAAAACACACAACAGTCGGTTTTATATCACTTTTTTAATTCTCGTTTTCACGCCAGTATTGCAACCTTTTGTGGGTTTTTTCTTTTTTTTAAAAAGACATACAGGTTTGAGCATGATCTGGAGCTGCAATATGTACAAAAACAAACTAATGGATGTTATAAAAAATAAACATCCCCTTTGTTTCGACTTTATTGCTAAAAGAGTTACAAACGGCACAGGTTTCTACCATCAGCAACCATCTGAGCACTGAGTAAACTACCACAATGACACCTCTGCTGACCATTTACTAGAATAATACAGATAGAGTGAAAGAGAGCGGAAATACGTGAAAGAGGGATGGTGGAGAGATGACAAAAAGAGGTGTTTTAAACTGTAGCCAAGCTAAGCACAGACAGGACTTGTGTTCAAAGGAAATCTCCCAAAATACAACAAAAGGAGCGATACAAGAGAAAGGTGTGAGGAAAGTAGAAAGATTAGCGCTCTGTAGTGCAAACAGCCAAATAGTCTTCAGAAGTAAGGCTGAGTGCGACAGAGGAAGGGCTCTACACCCCTTTTTTTGTTTAAAGCTGCCTCTCACTCTGCCCCGTTTCACTTAGCAGTGCATGAAAACTACATTAGAAAAGACATTTGGCATATTAGAGGATACATACATTGTTCAGAGCTCATTAAAATAAAACACACACACACAAGAACAGCTGCTTTTTGGAAGTGTATAAAACAGACAGACTCACACAGAGAGGGGAGGGAACGGTTGGGTTAGGGATGGTGTGATCCGTTCTGAAGAAAGGCGTGTAACGTAAAACTCGACAGACTCCGCTCTGCAAAACCAGCTCCGATTGTCGAGGCGGCATGTTTAGGTGGACGAAGCGCGCGTCGCCGCTTTTGTTAGTTTGAGCGACAAAGCTGCTCGGTTTGGACTCACGGGGAAGGAGGAGATGACAACCAAGAAGAAGCCAGGGGTGGTTGGCTGAAAAGAGGCAACACGTAAAAGCCATATATATCCCAGCTGGAAGAGGAAGAATCAGACAGATTTGATGTTTTTTTCTGTTTTTGTTTTTTAAGAAGACGTAGAAGAGTTACAAATCGACAGCGAGCGCCTTCCTGCAGAGTAAAGGGTTCAGGCTCAGCGTGAAGCTTTCATTTCTGACGCTACAACTGCTGCTGCAGCACCGTTTAAGTCCTCGTTTAACCCGGGACTGGAAGGAAGCGGCCTCTTTAGGAAACAACGTCAACAAAAAGCTAAACTCACAAATCAACCGAGGCAGCACAGGCGATAAAGCACTTCTCTTTTGTTTCGTTTTCTCAACATAAGACAAGGGGAAAAGTGTAACAATAATTTAAAAAAATATTACAATATAAAACATTTTACATTAATGACGAACAAGCGGGGAAGAACTTTTCTTTTTCTTACACATGAAGTGAATCCTTTTGTTTTTATTTCAAGGTGTAACAAAAATCTGAAATTACGAGCAGACATTCACTTCAGTTTTTGTTTATCCCCCCAAAAAAGGTTTACTACAGTCGTACTGCAAGGTTAAGAATCACAGGTATTGCCTTTGAATGAACCAGTTTAGCTGATATTTGGATCCCGGTGGAAGACGCTAAAATCTTTTTATTTATTAAAAAAAAAAAAAAATTATGGAGTGAGTCTGACTCAAATATTCCATTACGGTGACAGAGAGATGAACACACAGGTTAAGTATTTGCTGGCTGGTGAACTAGTGCTCAGGCAGACGAAAAGAGAAAGAAAAACAATGAAATGACCTGTACAATATTGCTGTTGTCTGGAAATGCACATTTTCGACCATTTAATAGTAGAAGAAGAATAAGAAGGCCTTTTTGCTCCAAAAGGAGGCGCAGTAGAAAGAAGGCTAGAAGAGAGCTTGTTTTGTACCAACTGTGAATGAGTGAACATTTAAATAAAGCAAAATATGTTGCTTTGTACACCAAAACTAACGAAGGCTAGGAGTTCCTCCAGAAGGCTGCTTTACTTGGAGAGGAAATGAAAAAAGGTGGAGCTGCAGCAATGAGCTCAAGTAGCTAGGCTGTAGTTTGACGTTAGCTAGACATTGGCTAGGCATTAGCTAGGCGGTAGCTTGATGTTAGCTAGGCATTAGCTACGCAAAAGTAAGAAGTTGGCTAGGCAGTAGCTTGATGTTAACCAGGCATTAGTTAGGTGGTAGCTTGACGTTAGCTAGACATTGGCTAGGCGGTAGCTTGATGTTAGCTAGGCATTAGCTAAAAAATAGCTAGATGTTAGCTAGGTATTAGCTAGATGTTGGATAGGCAGTAGCTTGATGTTAGCCAGGTGGTAGCTTGACGTTAGCTAGACATTGGCTAGGCGGTAGCTTGATGTTAGCTAGGCATTAGCCAGGTGGTAGCTTGACGTTAGCTAGACATTGGCTAGGCAGTAGCTTGATGTTAGCTAGGCATTAGCTACACAATAGCTAGATGTTAGCTAGGTATTAGCTAGATGTTGGTTAGGCAGTAGCTTGATGTTAGCTAGGCGGTTAGCTTGTGCTATGCACAGGTTTTTCCATCATGAGTAAACAGCATGTAAGAACTTTTTTTATTTCTTGTACATGAAGATATTCAGTAAGGCCACATCAAATTGAAAAGTGTCCATTTTTTCTTTCCTTTTTGGGAGAACCAGCAGAGCGAGACTGGAAGACGCCACGCTTGGTGCACTTGGATGTATTTTAGAACTATTTAATGAGCAACAGCATAAGATATGTGACTCGTTTAGCTGTGTGAGAATATACAGCACTAAGGCTAACCTTTGACGTCTACGCATATTACGAGTTTGAAACCATGATATATGTTTTTGTTGTTGTTTATCCCCACGTAGGTGTTGCTATGGCTCCGTGTGAGATGCACTGATATTTTCCAGGAGACATAGCGCGCGTAAGAGTATTGCAGGCAAGGCAGAGGCGTTGCTTAAAGCTTTTTCTTTTTAAAGACTTCATAAAAACCAATGTTAAAAAAACAGGCCCTCTGAGGTTTCCCCCCCCCCAGTTAAAAAAAAAAAAGCAAAACAACAAAAACAAGAACCTTTGCTTGTGTAAATAAACAACCCAGACTTCAGATTGACCCCAAAACAGATAAGAGTATCAAAACAAACAAAGCAGGCATTTGTAGAAAGGTCACATTAGAAGTTTGGAGTTGGACATCGAACGGGGAGGGGAATAAAGCCCAAGCTCAGAGGAAGAATAGAAACTATTTGGTAACAAAAGTGTACTATATGTTTAATACAAAAAAGGTATGGAGAAAAATGTACCTTTACTAAAGCTTATACAAGATCCTTGGTCCATAAAAACTATGTCAACGTCTCGTTTTCCATGGGTTTTTCTCTGCGTGTCCCTATGCATCCTTTCACTCCCTTCAACAACAACACACCCAGTCCTCCTTTTAGGATGAAAGAAACACAAAAACCAGTCGAGTTCTTATGGTTGAACCGGAGAACGGCGGTTCCCGGGAAGCAGAGGAGGGGCCGAACGGGACTGGTTTTCCTCCCCAGGCTTGAATTTGTGTTGGATGTGTTGTTGTGGTTCATCACAGCAGAAGGAAGGAAGGTGCTGGTGCTTCTGGGCCTGCAGGAGGCAGGTCCTTAAAGTAACCACAGGAGGGAGGAGGGGGCAGGTGAAGGAGCACTCCTGCTCATTCCCGTGTCGCTCCTTCAGATGTCCCCCGTGTTTGCTCCTTTGTCCCGCCAGGTTTTTTTTCCGCTTCCAAAACGAATCTGCAGCACTTTAGAGTGAGTCAGTTTGTTTCCTATAGTCTGTATAAACCTTACGGTGTATACGGTAACCAACGTCCATGTGCGTTAGGACACCACGGCCGCAGCGGCGGAGGATGAAGACGTGACTCCTGCGCTGGGGGTGCTGTTGGGGCCGTAGACGCCGGGGCCGACCTCCTGGCTGCTGTTGCTGTGCAGGCTGGAGTTACCGGTACGCAGGATGGCGCCGGCGGCGCTGCAGTGCGGCCTGGGTCCCGGCTCCGGTGTGTAGGTGAAGGTCAGTGTGGTGGAGTAGATGATGCCGTCGTTCCTCACCAGCGTGACGGGCACCTGGACCGGCTGCCGCACCCAGCGCCAGCCCTCTCTGAAGGCCGAGATGTCAGGCACCACACACAGCATGCTCTCTGCACACCTGGGGCGGGGGGGGGGGGGGGGATAAGGACACACAGTTCAGCCTTCTTCTAGGAAAACAGGGACCATTTTTAAAAACCCGCCCCCTGCTGGGACCTCGACTGTTAACGGCAGAACCAATCAGACACATGCCCACCTTCTGCCCAATCAAGATCCACTCCAATCAAACGCGCCTGTTTGGTCTGATTGCAACACTGAAGGAGAACCCTACTTAACGCACCTGTACATGGTCTCAGCCTCTACGTCTCCAAACCAAACCCGCAGATTAGGAGTGAAGTTCTGTCCCGTCAGCTCCAGCATGGCCACGTCTCCTCCGCCGTTTAGCTGCAGACAGGAAGTAGAGATCAGTGAATCTGCGGTGCGACACCTGCGGCGTCTCCTCCTCGGCGTCTCCTCCGTCTACCTGTAAGCTCTCCACCACAGGCACGGGGGTGACGGGGGAGTGGACCGGGCCCATGCCCTCGTAGAACGTATATTCAGCCTTGTCTGTGCTGATGATTGTCCAGGAGGCGCCGTCGTTGATCATCTCCTTGTTTGGTTCTTTGGGACAGGGCGTGGCCTGTAGGAGGAAGGAGAACATCTAAAGTGAACCGGACAAAAAAATGACCTACTTTGTGTTAAAGTTAGAAATAAACATCATCTTCTTTACTTGTTCCTGAACGGCCTCAGCTCAGAGAAATAAGGTTTACTAGTGAGCTAACGGCTGGTCTTTTAAACGCTCCAATCTCCATGAAAATCACACGTCAATGCAGAAAATTAGGAGATATAAGCTGTTCCTGAGACCCCGACCTGAAATTAGGGTCCACATAGAACGTCAATGTCCTTGCATTTTTGTTACGTCAATTAGTTCTGTTCAATGAAGAAAATTCTCCTTCAGATTTTGGTCTTTTTATTTTGCACATTTTGTATAAAAACATTAAAAAACCAAAATAGTAAAAATAAAAATAAATAAAAATAAAATACACAATTTGTTTCTAAAACAATATTTTGAGCTCCTACTGGTCCCCAAAAACTGAAAACTTCCTATTTTGAAACATTATTCTGCAAAATTCTTAATAAGCCAAGTTTTAGCCGAATGAACAGCTTCAGTTTGGAGAAACAGAGATCAGTTAGGATCAGCCATTTAAAACATCTTCGTCCTTTATAGTTGTGTATGAAAATGCAGTCTTTCGTACATTTCATGGAAATTCTGGCAGGTTTAGCATGAAATTCCAAGTAAGTAGCTAGCTGAAAATTCCCCGACCCATTCCCGTTGAGATAGAAAAAATAAACGAGAAACAGAGTTTTATTATGAACCACTTTTGCGTGAGCTAGTACGAAACCTTTGAAATAAAACATGTTTAAAGATGACAAAGTCACTTGTCACTGGCCCCGCCCCGACTAGTCGTTAGCTTATCAATCAGGTCAGAACTAATCTCTGTCTCTCCAAAATGAGGTTTTTCAAATCCAGCTACAACCAGTCACCAACTCTGAATTATCCCTTAAAAACAAACTTTGGACCCAGTGAGTTCTGACTAGCCGTTAGCTCATCAGTCCTGTTGGACACAAACTCTACTTCTCCTCACTGAGGCCGCTCAGAAAGCGTTCTAACACAACTTTAGCAAAGAAACATCTTGTCAGGTGAAATAAGACACGGACTTGAAACTGGATGATCCTTTCTTGGGAAAGGCACAGGTACATGCGCTCCGTGTCCTTCAGGTAGAAGGCACATTTGTGGAGCTGGGACACCGGGTCGTCTGCGTCCAGCAGCGCCGTCTGCTTGTCCACTTTGCGGATAATCTGAAATTACAACAGGAGGGGAAAAAATAGAGGGATTAACCCACTGAAGGAGGAAAAACAGGAAGAAAATATATTAATGCAGTGACTAGGATTGAGGTCAGAACAAAAATGAGGTATTAAGGGGGAAAAAAAAAAGAGTTGGACATAAAAATAGATGGAAGAAGAGAGAAAATGTCTCTGACTGCTCAGAAGAACATGAGTCAGTGTGTGACTAAAAGAACAGAGCTGTGTTTGTCAGGAAATTATTCTTTAAATTACAATAAGCAGCTCCTCTCTGGGTGTGACACACTTCCGACCTTTTACACAATAAAGAAAAAACTCATTTGGTTCGTAATTTAAAAAAAAAGATGAAACAAAATCTGGAGCTAAAGTAAAAAAAAAAAAATAAACGGCACAAATATTTAGATTTTTGTGCGTTTGGGATGATTTTCTCTTAAATCCTTTAACTGCAGCTGTTTTTTGTCTCCTTAATCCTGTCTGATTGTGTTCATCTGACACTTGGGGGTGTTTGTTCGGTTTTTACCAGTCTGGGCAAGGCCATGCCAGTGACGGAGCACACCAGCTTGACCGTCTGACCGTAGTGGATGTAACCGTCTCTCACAGTGAACTCCTCTCCTTCTGACTCCTCGTCGTCCACTAGAACACAAAGCAGACGTCCGCACTCAGCTCACTGCCGCCTCTGGCTGTAGAAAAAGAAAGCGGAGCGACTCTCACAAAGGTGGATGTAGAATGCACCCCACTGCTGGGAACTGGCGTGGAAGTTGCCGCCCTCCACGTGGAGGTAGCGTGTGCTGACTGTTTGGGAGCGCAGCCGGTTGAACAGAGCCACCTTGGTCCCTGACGCGATGCACACTGCAGACAGGAGCAGAGAGTTAACACACAGTGGCTGCTTATGTAAAGATGGTCACTGTTCTCAGATCAGTGGCTGTAATTGTAACGACTCTGCCCTCTAGTGGTTAGCAGCTGTATCATCGCTAACGTGCATAATCCAAACACTCAGTTGTAAAGGTATATAAGCGGTAAAAACATGAGCAACAACAGGAGCTCTTGGTTTAGCTCGCAGCTAAAGCAGAACACTGCATAGAGCTGCGTTCACAATAGCTGGATTTATAAACCCTGTTTATAAACAGTGTTTCCACCTCCATCCAGATTGAAGATTAATGACCAGCACTCACAAATGGGACTGTGGTTAAAAAGTAGAGACGCACCAACACCAGGTTTCTGTCAAACTAATAAAAGCTCTTATATGCGAGTACTTTCCAATACTAAATACCAATACTGCTTAAAATTTACTTATAGTTTTTTTTTACTTTATTTTTATTAGGAACATTAAACAAACTTTAAATGTAAAGAACTAGTATATAAATACTCTATTATAATACTTCTGGGGAGAAAAAGAAGAGTTTTTATAAAAAAAAGTGAAATTGCAGAAGCATCTTGCAGTCAGTGTAGAGAAAAATTTAGGAGCAGTATCTTGTAAAGACGAGAAGCTTCCTCGGAGAACAGCACGATCCCGTGTGATTTGGTGGTTTATGCAATAACACAAGGTGTGCAGTTTTTTTTTCCTGTTCTGTGAACTCTGCTATGGAGGTTTCACAGGTAATTACATACTTTTATTTTCTCTGGCTAAGCAACTACAAGTCTGAATATGACTATTATTTTGAAAGTCTGCTTTCGTGTTCAACTTCCTGTCAGGCCGATCTGAACTGCCGAGCTTGTGGAAGCGTGGTGCGTAACCAACAGATCTGGAGCATATGTTTAGCACAGAGGCAATGCAACACTGCACGTGTGAGGGGTGTGGTCAGAGCCCCCTAAAGCTTGGTTTACGCGTCTGCGAGGTCCGCACGGCTCCGCGTGGCAAACTTGCGTCATTTTAACAACCACGCCCCTCCACCGCGCCTCTGCACGGCCCAAACTTTCCACACCGCACACCTAGGAAATTTTCTAACCACGCGGACGGTCGGACGCGGAAAAACATGGCGTACTGGCAAGAACTAGTATGGCAGAGTTCGTAAATACAGACATTTGTATGATTCAGCTCTCAAAGATCACCGTGATCAACATGTTGTTAATAATTCTTGGAGAGAAATAGCTCGCACTGTCAGAAAAGACGAGGACGTTGTCAAAAATGCTGGAATGCCATGTTGTAAACAACAGGAATGTTTACTTCTACTATGGTGTAGTGATGGATGCATGCCGTAGAGCTCCATGCTGCCCCCTACAGTTTGGGAGAATATTGGCTCACCGCAGAGACAAGCTGCATGAACCATAAACGCTGCGAGTTGTGAAGCGCGTTCCATCCGCGAGCCGCATCACCAAGCGGAAATAAATGCGTCAAGCATAAACCAAGCTTAAGTGTTAACAGTGCTTGTGGTCAGCTAGTCGTCCGTTTTAAATGTGGTAAACCATGAGTCAGGAAACTGGTTGATTTGAGTACTTTAGTCTTGTTGGAGGATCATTTTAAATCCTTTTGTAATTAAAACATTGCTTGATTTTGATTGTGCGCACTAGGAGTCTAATGATATATCGGACCAACATTTAACGTTTTTTATACATCGGCCCATTTAAAGTCAGGCAAATCGTCAGGCAGCCCTATGCTGCTGCAGAATCTAACTTAAATATATTTTTATGTTCAGTAATATCATCTGCATAATAAATACTCTAAATTAAGTTCACTTAGGTGTCTGACTTTAACATTGAGCAGTGCACAAAGTTAAGATTTAACAGTTATTAGAGACTGAAAATAAGGTGGAAAATGTTTACATATCGGCCACAAAAATTGGCCCATAAAAATCTCCAGTGTGTGTCGGCCATAGGCTAACCATGTCTCCTACATATCGGCATTGGTTTCGGCAACAGAAAAACCAATATTGGCTGTTTAGTGCAAACGCCTATTTGTGTTAAGCCTCAGTCCTTCGTTTTAAACCCACGAGAGGTTGCAACAGCGGATCACGTTCATTTAAAGTGCATTACTGCTGCTTAATGAGTTATGCTTGGTTTATGTTTGACGCAAGTACAATCCACGTGCGAAACGAGAAGCACGTCAAAACCGGCTCCGTGACCTAGTGGTAGAGTGTCCGCCCTGAGACTGGGAGATCAGGGTTCGATTCCCGGTCGGGCCAAACCAAAGACTTAAAAAAATTGGGACCCAACGCCTCTCTGCTTGACACTCAGCAATAAGGGTTGGATTGGGGGGTTAAACTACCAAATGGTTCCCGAGCGCGGCCGTGTCTGTAGCTCACCGCTCCCCCAGGGGATGGGTCGAATGCGGAGAACAAATTTTGCACCCACACATCAGTGTGTGTGACAACTGACGGGACTTTAACTTGCAACGTTTCCGGTTCCTTCCTACCTTCTGCGACTTGTGCCCGCTGTGAACCGTCATTCTCCCAGACTGTAGGGGGCGGCATGGAGCTCTACGGCATGCATCCAATACTACACCATAGTAGAAGTATAAATCAGTGTTGTTTACAACATTTTTTCACTTTTCCGACCGTGACAGCAAATATTAACAATATTTTGATCACAGTGATCTTTATGGGCCGAATCATAAAGATGTCTGTACTTACGAACCTCCGCCACTACAAGTTCTTGCCAGTCCGCCGTGTTTTTCTGCTGCGTGGCTAGAAAATTTCCTAGGTACGCGGTGCAGGAACTTTGGGCCACGAGGAGGGCCATGGTTGCTGGCCTTGCGGACCTTACCAGCGCGTCAAGCATGAACCAAGCTTCAGAGGGCTCGTGTGAACTCTGTGTCCTAGAGAAGCTCCCACCACCCTGATATCGGGGCACTATTACGAGGAAAAGTAGTATCGGCCCGATACCGGATGGTGGTATCAAGCATCGTGCATTTGAAAAAATATTTAAAAACTCAAATTTATAGCAACAGAGGGAGGATGGAGCCATTACTAGAAGAGACCACTAAATGACGATCATGCGAAACCCTTTAGAAAGGGTTTAGCACCGATAGCACCTAAGCCAGAGGAGCTCTAGTCCCACAGGAAACACACAGAACAAAGACATGAACTCACAGTCGGCGTTTTTCAGGGACTGCTTCTTTTTGGAGGGTTTAGAGATGACCTTGATCCTCTTGCTGAGGAAGACGCCAATGTCGGCGCTGTTGCCGTAGAACATCTTGACAGATAACATGAAGTGCTTTCTCTTGTCGGAGTCGGATATGTACAAGGTTTTGGCTGTGCAAAAGTTCTGGTGAGGAGGAAGAAGAAACACACAGATGCACTTTCTGACTCATATTTGGTGTTTCCTGCAGAACTGTAACTAGTTTCTACACGGAGCCGTTTGTAAACATAACATCTGAGGAAAAATAAAGCCTGAAAACTTTTCCAGAGGAATGTCTAAAATGACCCCTCACCAGCGGGTAAACGCATGTTTCTGTGTGTAATTAAACAACCAACAAAAGCTTTTGGGGTGATTTGTACCTTTCCCTCTAAGTTGAGCTGCTGCATTTCTTGGTCGCTATTGCCGATGCCGATGAAGGCACACGGCTGCGTCTCCTGGTCCGAGCAGCCGTCTCGCTCCATCTGCTCCTTCTTTTTCTTCCAGCCGCTGCCCATCAGGTACACACAAGGAGGGGGGCAGAAAAACCTGGAAATGAGAACACACACCGCTTGTTTTTGTTTGAGCACATCACAATTACGTTTGTTTATTTCAATTTTAAAAAGAAATTGATTTTTTGCCTCTTCTATCAACAATTAATGTACATCTTCGTCTCCACCAGTAGAGGGCAGCCTCGCACCAAGTTCAAACTAGTCAAAAATGAATGAAACATCAACAAATTCAACTTTATTGAGACATCTAACAGATGTTAACAGATCAAACCAACAGAGACGAGTAGAAGAACCTTTCCTCCGTTTTAAAGACGTTCTGCTCCCCTCTTTAAAAAATAAGCCTAAAAATCCAGGAAGAAGAACATAAGGCATGAGCTGGATGTGTGTGTGTGTGTGTGTGTGTGTGTGTGTGGGAATGGAGAGCAACCTGTTTCGCAACAGCAGTGTCTGTCTCTGTGGGTAGTTGTCTACTTTCAGCTCCTATAAAAAGCTCAGACAGCGAGAAGACGGGAGACGATCTCCTGCACCCACTTTCGTTTTTTTTTCCTTTGTCAGAAAACTTGTTAAAAGACAGGAAAAAAAAGTACAAGAAGAGGTGTGAGACGACTTACATGTTCTGATAAAGTTAGTGTTTGATGAAAACTGTTGAACGCAACTGGAGAAATCTCCAAATATCATCTCAGCTCATCTTGGCTGCTTCAAACTCTCAGCGGCGTTTCAGAGTTAGACAGAAACCTGATGAGGTCACGAGCAGCGGTGCTGCGGCTCGGCCAAAAACACCATCAGAGGATGGAGAGAGTGGAGGGGGGGGGGGGCTATAAAAAGATTTTGAGGTAGAGGGGTGGCGGGCGAGTTACAGGAAGGGTTTGAGTAAGAAATGATGAGTTCAGCGAGGTGTTGCAACAGCCGGAGACCACAGAGGCGAGCGCTGCGTGGAAATGAAAACGACACCTCCGTGACCTCTGAGACCCGACTCTCAAACCCTTTACGGTTTTGTCAGAACATTTGCTCTGGCGGTGCTCGTCTTTTAGCCGCCTTCACCTGAAGGACAGCTCACACTGAAAAGGTCAAAGATCTTTTCCTCCTCAGCTAGAAAAACGCACAGGGATCCCAGAGATCCCTGATAGTAAGCTCCTACTCTTCTCTGATACCGCTGCTGATTACGGGTCGGGATCCCGTAGGAGTGTTTCTACTGCAGAGCAGTAACCAGCACCCCTGCCCCACAATGGTTTATACCAGCAAACCAGCCCTGTCTCCTGCAGTAGCTTCTGATAGAAAACAGTCGGTGAAACTCTAGGATTAGAAATTCCTGACAGATCTACATCACACTGTCACTTAACACTCATGGACTCACCCATCTTGGCTCACACAGGGAAAGGTTGTTGGTTTAGCGCCCAGGAAATAGCAAAGAATGTCTCGACTAGTAGAAGCTAACCATTAGCATTAGCAACTCCACCACACAGCAGAACTCCTCCAGGCTTGTGTTATTTGTGGAGATAAAACGTCAACGTTGCAAAGCAAACAGAGTTTGTGGTAGAGTCATTTTGCTGTTAGCCAATCAGAGGAGATATGTGGAGACACCTGGAAATAAGAGTCCAAATCCTGCTGCCTGAAGCTACTCCACCCCCATACACACACACAGAGTGCGACTCACAAGGCATTTTTACAGGCAAACTTCATCACCACCATTGCTGCCACACACACACACACACACACACACACACACACACACACACACACACACACACACACACACACACACACACACACACACACACACACACACACACACACACACACACACACACACACACACACCATCTGGACTCTGCACTGAATCTTTTTTTCATAACAGTCAGAAACTGTCCAGAAAGCCACGGAGGTCTGATGAAGTAAAAGACCAGGCTCACCTTTTCTCATTGCCGTAGGATTTCTGTGCGACTTTGGCGTGCAGGATCATGACGGTTTGGTCCCCTCGCTCCTTCAGATAATTCCTCATCGCTTCTCTGCAACACAAATTACAAAGAAGAGAGAGAAAGGCTTATTAAGTTGTGTTTTTATCTAAGTGATGTTTACCAAGCTGGCCGAGATCAGGGCCCGAACCCGTAACGGCAGCTCCAAACATGGAATCGGAACATAAAGACTCGCATTCAGTGGGCTCACAATAACCTCACAACTACTTTCTGAGCATGATCAGCTCGCCAAATACTTGTGTTCTTCCCCAGATGTGTCCATCTGAGGTGGGGGGGGGGGGGGGGGGGGGCTGAACTGTTAACTCTTGGCTCAGAGGGAGAAGGGGGGAGATGGAGAGAGAAATATGGCTGATAGGGGGAGAGAAGGAAAAGAAAACAGCAGAGTTCAACATCTAAAAACAACAGAGCTGAGCTCACCAGCAGACTCGTCGTTTCATGACTACATGTTGCAAGTTCCACGCTCCAGTTACTCTTCCTCCACACACACACACACACACACACACACACACACACACACACACACACACACACACACACACACGACTGATACTGAGAGACTGTTTTGGATTTTGCACAATAAACGCACGAACACTAGCACACCTTGACTCCATCTACACACAGGCACAGATGTCGGTGACACCTGACACGCTGGGTGCTCGCAGGCCAAAAACACACCATCTCTCTCACACACACACATGCACGTATGCACGCACGCACGCACACACTTTACAACAAACATTAAAACAGTTTCATATTTATTTATTTTACTTTCTAGATTTTTTTGCCTTAAAACAAATCTTCACTCATCGTTTAATTTTAAATCTTACATTTTCTAAAAAGAAAGGGAGCAGTAAAAAATTCTAATCAGGAGAAAGAGCTAACCTGTTAACCAAACGAGTCAGAGCTGTAAGCACCAGTCGCACTTCTGGTCATGACCTAAAGCTTTGTGCTGCAGCGAGTTCCACACGAAGGCATTACAACCAACCACAGACCCCGCTCCGACACGGCCGCTCGTCATGTAAATCAGTACCTGATCAAAACAAGCTGCGGTCTAAAGGTTTATGAAACGGTGTTTGTACAAACTGATATTTAAATATTGAGGTTGGAGCTTTAGAAAAGTATCCATGATGCTTCAAACGGAGGTCCTTCCGACTCCACAGAACACCACCGCAACATTGCACACGGTCCGGTGGCGTAGATGAAGGTTTTACAGTAGCCTACAGAACCTTAAATATATGGTTTTACTTTGGTAACTACTCTGATTTCATTCACATTTGGCCCCTACTGCTCCCAAAGCGGTCTCACATTTCTCTGGGAAGGGTTTCAAGTGGCACCAACGGCGATACGTTCAAAAGCCCAGGAACACAAATGAAAGACCCTATGTGTAGTGCTGGGCAATATGGCCTCAAATCAATATCACGGTTTACTGGGCAGTTCACTTCAACAATGATCCGGAAAAGGTGGAAAAGTTTGGATGTAGCCTTATAAAACAACAAGCATGACTGTTTAAAATCATCAAACCCTTTAATAATGGCCTAGTTTTTATTTTAACAAGTGCAACTGCATAAAATTTCATTGTTTCACAGAAAACACCATAAAGTCACATGGTTGAAGGAAAACGGGGACACCATAACATTGAGCTGTAATGCTGCCAAGATCAACCAATTAGTCGTGAGTAGGGTTGGGCATCGAGAATCAAGCATTGATTGGAACCGGTTCCGACTGTTCATTTTTCCCGGAATCGCTCGTTTTTTATTTCCATTCCTAGAGTGCCGACGGAAGAGGAATCCGCGGCTGATCTCCGTGAAAAATAAACGTGATCTGCAAATTGTGATCAATGCGTTTCAGAGCTGATCACACCAGCTGTCTGTGTGCAGCAGCGAGTCCCCCCTCCCCCACCCAGAAATAAACAAACACGTCGGCCGAACTTTTACTCCGTGATGTAAACTTTAACTCCTGCAGCGTAGAGGAAGCTTGTTACATACGTCAACACGGTGGATTTAATAAAAGCTTTAAAGAACAAACTCTGGATGGTGTGAGGTGAGTTTGTCTCACTGCAGAAATAAAAACACACACGGAGCGTCAGCAGTCAGACACAGCCGCTCAACAACACTCGTGTGTGTGTGTGTGTGTGTGTGTGTGTGTGTGTGTGTGTGTGTGTGTGTGTGTGTGAGCGTCAGAAGGCTGAACAATAACCTGTAGAATAATTAAAGTCATCATGCTAGAGCAGCTTCTCTGTGGTGGACCACACCAGCTTCTGCCACAATAAATAATAATAATAATAATAATAATAATATATCACACACAAAGTTGTGAACATTTTAATTTCCTTTCTGAACTATTTCTGTTGAGTTTTAATGTTTAAAATCTGTTAGATTGTTACCGACAGCAGCTACATTTAAGTTTCACTTCCTGTTCTGACTGAATGCTGCTGCAGCATGGAGGTGTAGTTCTCAGTCATCCTGGACATGATCATCCTGAGAGTTGTAGCTGAAAACAGCTGCACGTTTCTGGATATGTTGGAGACATTTAGCCTCTCATCCCAGAGGCTTCTTCCAGACTTTGGTTGTGGTCAGAAACAAACACACTGGTTGTGCAGCAAGTCTTTTTCTTTTTTTCTCCAAAACACGTTTTTGTCTAAATGAAGGTGATGTTGTTGTTCATAGAGTTAAAATTCATGTTGACGTTAAGATTATTTCATCAAGTAGGACCTGTGGTTAGCTGGCTCATGTAAAACATGCCATGTCTTGAAAGAATCGGAATCGGGAATTGATAGGAACCGGAATCGAAACGAGGAACTGGAATCAGAATCGTTCAAAATCAAACAATGCCCAACCCTAGTCGTGAGTACATCCAGTCCACTAACATAATAGTTGACAGCTAATGTGGCGATCAACGGTATGGTTTAAGTTTTTAAACTTTGTTCTCTCAGAGCTGCCACTGCTTTATTTACCTTTCTACCCTAGAAGCACACGCAGTAGTGGCATTTGGGTTCAAGCGCGGCTTCAGAAAAGCCCAAACAGCATCATGGCACAGCGACAGAGTGTCACGTTACGGGGATTGTTAGGACCCAAAATGCAGATTACCCAGATGACAAGAGGCAGGAGTTTATATAAGAATAAATCCTTTTATTGGTAGGATGAAAACAAAAAATAAATCCAAGGGCAGGGAGCCAAAAATCCAAAAATCCAAAACCAGAAGACCAAAAGCTCACCTAGAGCACAAAACTGGGATGAGACACAAAGCTCACACAGAGCATCAGAGAACGCTGTCATACAAACAACAGACCGACAAGACACTGAGACAAGACAGGGCTTAAATACACTGGGGCATGATGGGAGGCAGATGAGCTGCAGGTGTGTGGGGAGAGGACCAGGTGAAAGCAATACTTAATCAGGGAGGGAACTCACACGACCTAAGAGTAAAACCTAAAAACAAGAAAAGCAACCACATAACTAATATTCTGAAGGGAAGGAAAACTACAAAGACTGGTGGGACAAAACATACTAAAGAGACTGATAAAATGAAAAGCTGAAACTATAAACACTGCAGAGGGGTGACTGGAGAAGACTAAAGGAACACAGGACCTGAGAGATATATCTGGAGGGCTGAAGACCAGGGGACACATGAGGAACACAAAGAGACACAGACCACGACACAGAGCTCAAACGTTTGGGATCACTTCATAAAATGTTTCAAAGACAAGCATGTGTGATGCAACACCTGCACGGTAGAACGTGCCTTCCATGGCAGGGTGATGCATAAGCATTAGCCTATAGCGATAGACATTAACAGACATACAGATGTCAATCTCTGAGCATGCACGCGTGTTTGAGGGCGTACCGGCTGATGCAGGTGGCTGTGGTTTATTTTCTGTTCTTCTTACCTCTGCTTTGGAGGTGTCACGGGATATTAACGTTTTGTTTTGACTAGTTAAGCAACAGGATATATCTGCACATGAAAGCTAGAGGATGCTTTACACTGCTCCCATGTTTGAGTTTCCATCTGACCTGACGTGAACTGTTGAACGTGATGCACTCTGGAAGTGTAGCTCGTACAAAATAGACCATTAGCGTAAATTTACTGGAGCAACATGAAACGATGCTTCCCCTCCACACCTGGTTCAAACAAACAAGCTGACTAGAACTGTGGCTACTAGCTGTGCATTTCGCTTCGTGAAATAGTGGAATGTCTGAGTAACTTTACAAGAGCTAATGTTTTAATTTACTACGCAACCTAGCATTGCTCTTGAATGGATGACTTTTAATAAATACAAACAAATGTCCCAACAGCTGCCTAAAAAGCCACAATTAACACATGAACTGACTAGTCGACTAATCCAGTGTATCTCAAATAGTGGGGCGGGGGGTGGGAGATCTATAACAGCTTTATTTGGAAAGAACCTTTGAGATTTGTGTCTATTTGCTGTTGCTGGTTTTAGAGCTGAGCGATATATCGATAATTTTAAAAACATCGATTTAATTTTTAAACAAGATATAAGATGGCTTTATATCTTTATATCGATACACCGTAAATCCTCTAATACAGGCCCGGGCCTGTATTTGACTCAAGCTCATCAAGCTCCAGGCCTTCATTGGAAGGAGGACCAGAATTAGAGACAGGCCTATATTTCTATTTGAGCAAAATGAACTAATGGTTCGCTGGAGTTTTTGACAATTAAAATTGCGCCCACATTTTCAAAGTTAAACACATTTCTTTTAACAATGGTAGTTCCTGCTTCAACCCTCTCCCCCCTCCCCCTGCGCAGCGGCCGCAAACTCACTGATGCGCCTGCAGCCTCTCGGAGTTCCTGCTGCTCTAAACATTAAAATAATTATTTCATTTTCTGTTCCTCACTTCTGATTACCTTCAATGGTGTCTGTTTGTTGCAACCACCAGGTACAAAAACTAACTTGTTTTTATTTGACTATTTTTCTGTACTGCTTGTTTATTATCTTCCTGCATCTCCTCTCAATCCTAAAGAAAAACTGCTACCTGGGTTCATATATATTCACGTCATGAGTTACCTTTGA